TAATCTCGTAATCCCATTTATTACGTAGTCAAACCCTTTCGCCAAACGTATGCGCCACAAGTATGCGACTATGTGCCCCAAGTTATTGACAGTTCATATCTACCCAAAACTGCGAATACATACCACGGTATATTTAACGCGTGAGCATCCAGAAAAAATATCACAGCATATCCATGGACTGCATCATGATGAGTGGGGCTAAGCACCCGTTAGTCCGTCCGCACTTCCATCCGTCTGTGCGCTCGTCTGTGAGACAATCCATGCATCTGTCTGTTCACGCTTCCGTCCATGGGTCCATCTGTCCATGCCTCCGTCCATCAATGCGTTCGTGCGTGCGTCAATTCATTCATCCATCTATCTTGTAAACAATCCAAGTACCACCAACTCGCATCTTTTCATCATATATTCATCATATAAAAGTACCGTCATCGAGTGGACATTCCAAGGTGGCATGGCCGGACTAGAGGAGGGGTGGCACGCGCGCACTCTCTTACTGCCTGCGCTTCGTGCCTAGTTCCCTCTTTCACCACCGCTAGTTCATGCCAATGCGGCCCAACCCTCACTAAACCTTGTTAAAACCAAGGAGGTTACTCCCAGCGAGTTTAACGTAGCAACCTTTTTTGGTCATATACTGCTCAAAGTGCGTCCTTCTGTTACTAGTTTTTTAAGTCAGCATGGAATTCAAGGCAACTTTTGTTTGAGATTAAGTCATCGATACTTTTCTCTGCAGGTTATTTGATAAGAAGCAACAATCTTTTTATATATGATTAACGTATGCGGGTTTGCTCCTCAATTTAAAAGAGTGCGCCCGTACGTGCCGCTCTAATGCGGCCGTAGAGGTGGCTACATACTACTACTACTACTACTACTACTACTACTACTACTACATACATCGCGGACGCACGACCCGTGGCCTAAGAAGCTTCGCCCCTAAATTCCCATCGGCAGCGTTGACCCGACGAGTGCAAAGAATAAATGTCAGGGCGTCAGCAGGAATCGAACCCCTGAATCCTGCGTGGTAATTCTAGTTGGCCACGCCAACTAGAATTCTATAAAGTGTTCTAGAATGCTTGGCTGCTGAGCCGAAAGTCGTGTGTTCACTCCTGACCGTGGTGGTCAAATTTCGAAGGAGGCGAAATGGCACAATGCCCGTGTAATGTGCGATTTCATGGCACGTTGGAGAACACCAGACGGTCACATTTTCGAGAGCTTACTACGACGTCTCTCATCATCTTATCAAGGTTTTCAGACGAACACCCGAAACGTTATTATTATTTTTGTATAATTATTATTGTCGTTGTTGCTGTTTTTGTTGGTACTAACAAGTATATTCTACCACAGAGCCACGACTCGTCTCAGAACAACTTTTACAATATGCCTTAATGAAATGTCCATTGAAGTTGCAGTGCTGGTTAATCAGTCTTATAAACCTTTCATACGCACTCCTATGACACAGCCGTCACTTCGGGTGAATGTCCGTTTTAGTTAAAAAGGTGGTGCCATCAACAATTTGAGTCCTAGACAAGCCTCTTGCGAGTTTCATCCATATTCTAGGACACTCCACACGAGTGGTCGCACACTAAACGTTCACAACATATTTTAATTCACCTCCAAATTGTACCTAAATGCTTATTCTCCTGGTCGAAGCCCATCGTAAGCGCGTCCAGAACTCTCGTAGCTCAGTCTGAAGGGCAGCGAAAGTTGCAGTGACGTAGTGAGCGTAGGTGTGCGCATAGGTGTAGGTGTAGGCGCGTAGGTGTAGTGAGCGTAGGTGTGCACAGGTTTACCCCTTCAGGGAAAACAAAGTTTCATCGCAGCGCACCCACTCCCTATTATGTCAATGCATGGGTTTGACTTCGCACCTCCTTCCGAAGTTCTAGCGCCGCCTGCCTGCTATGTCAATGTGTAGGGCTGTGTTTTCCACTCCCCCCTCCCTGCCCTAGTAAGTTACTATGGGAGCGGCCACCCCCTCATCTTCTGCTCGTGGGAACGCCTATTATAGTGCGGTGGGAGACCTTCGGACACCTCCGTCACCCACGTACTGGCAAAGCATCGCGGCTTCTACACGTTTCTTTTCAAGTGCTTGTGTGGCACGTGTGTGCGAGAAAGCCAGTGAGAACAGACGATGATCAGCATGACATTCGTCACAGCCTTGTGTGGCCGAGCGACCAAGCTACAAAGCAAAGTCACAGCTCAATTCAGCGCCCAGAAACCCGAACCAAAAACTGTCTACATTAAAGAATTCGGCAGATACCACGTACCTGTAAATCAACGTTATGCGAAGCATGCGGAGGGAAGGTGACCGGGTTGCAGTTGTTTTATTGAGTGACACGTAATGAAATAATGCTAAATATGTGTATAAATGTTGCACGCACAGACTTATGTCGAAGAGTTGCAGATGTTTATATAACCAATTGTTAGCACTTGCGCAACGATGCCAACTGGAACATGCGCATTAGCAACACCAGAAGCTGATATGAAGCGCTCATGCTCGCCAGGATGCTGGCCCTTAACACTGCCACATAAATTAACTTCAGTGCATGGCAACTAAACACAATTGACGTTCACCCGACGTGATGGCTGTATCAAAGGAGTACATATGTAATGTTGATAAAATTGGGTAGGCAGCACTGCAACCACTTATGACGTTTCACGAAAATTAGCGTCTGTTTGAAAAGCAGTTCCTAGGCCTGGCCTAGCTCTGTGGTAAAATGCTTCATTTCCACGCAGAATGCTTGTATTCGATTCCAGCTGGGGCCCTGACATTTCTTCTTTGCATTCGTCGGGTCAACGCTATACCGATGTCGGGTATTTCTTAACACTCGCGCGTTAAAATTGCCCTTGTGTGTTCTAGCCATTCCTAGCGATACTAAGTCTCAATCACTAGTGGCACATACTGCCATACCAGTGGCATATACCCGCCTGTGGATATGTGCCACTGTCTGGCGAGAAGTGTTTGACGACATACGTGACGTTATTTTGAAATTATTTATGTCTTGACCAGCGTGTCATTTCCGTTCATCAAGTTAGCAATTCATCACGTAACCTGCTTTGTTACTTTCATATTTAAATAATAAACGTGCAACAGCTTTCGGTCAGCGATTGATAGACAAGCAGTCGGCATACTCTGGGAAATGACGTGTCCTTAAACGAACGTACGGGCTTTAGTACCAGCAAGCACCATTTTGTCTTGTCCGGCAAAGTCTTTTCCGGCATTTTGTCTTGTCCGGTTGTTTCAAGTGGCAAAAAAAAAAAACTAGGCTAGCGCTCAATATCTACCTGGTGTTTTAGTTTCATCCCCTGTTCCATGGATTGGTCTACGCAGTACCGCTGTCCAGGAGCATAGTGTATTACGGGCAAACAGGTCATTGTTTGTATGTCACGGTCATGCAGCGCCATGTCGCTGGAAAAAGTTCAAGGTCTTGTAACTTTGCTGGACAATGCAGGGGGTTCCAATGCAAACCGATGTACCAGGAAAAGGCTGTTTTGTTCGTGAATAAGAATACACAGAGTTTCTGCTTCATGTGTAAGCCAAACGATTATCGTACAGCATCAAAAGGAGGAACAATTTTGGAATGACTTCTTCTCTCGTTTAGCTTGTTTACCCGGCATGCACCGTGTGTCTTAAAAATTTGGGGACCTTTGAGCTCTTCTTTAAGGCCCATATTTTCACAAACCAACCACATCCTTTCCTCGAATTTTTCCCTCCTGTCTGAAACTTCAATAGCACTTAATGAACAAAGTAGGCCAGTGTTCATGGAACGTCTTGTTCTCATCTTTCACCTTGTTACCTTTTTTGTGCCTCTATAACGCCTGTGGAGAGTGCAGGAAGTTGAGGAACATCTGAGGTAACGCCGAGGTGGGTTTGTTAACATGGGCCTAAGAGTCGAACGCGATAGCGATATCGTCGCTAGTGCATTCTGTGTAATGGATGGCATGAGCAGCCTTAAACCATGAGTTATAAAGTGCGCAAAATGTTTCGAAATTCGCGATGCATCCTTTCCGTCATCCTAAGGAAGGGCGCGTCGTAACGTGTGCGTCTTTTGTAGTGGGTGGCGGGATTTAAACCACCAGGTAGGTATTCCTGTTGTGACGCCCTACAGCAATATAAGCTTGTAACAGGTAATAATACTGTGGTAGTCGATGTATTGTGAAACCTGTATAAAGGACGCATGTGTTTGTAAAGCATGAAAGTTATATTCACTGTATTTCCAAGCAGATAAAGTGGACGCGTGGCTGTGGGGTACAACACTTGTTTGCAACGGAAACGACCCAGATTGGATCCTCACTTTAACCCAGAAATTGTGAGTTATTTTATTCACCCCTTTTAGATTCTGGGGCCATGGGCGAGATGATTTTTCGCTGACAACCAACGACGCCAACGCCAGACTTTCTGTGAAGCAAGCTCTTTAATGCTGTCGCGTAAATTGTGTAATACTTTTTTCCCGGACGCATTAAATTATTCACTTGTGAGTCAGCGCTCGTGTCATCTTTTCGTTCTTCGACTGTGCTGCGCAGCACGTTTACCGAACACGTTAGCTTACGAACTCACCCAGCTTGCCATGTTAATTTATTCTGCGTTTAGCCCGTTTTTTCCTGTACTATTTTTCAAGCCAATTGTTCCCGTTTGAACAGGTAGCGCTATTTGGCATGGAACGCACGTGAAATGCGATTACGTTGCTATTGCTCTAAAGCTGACTGTAGGATGGGTACTAACAATGCGTGTCCGCTTACCACATAAGCCTTTTTTGTGACTACTTAAGTGTAATGGTTTTGTTTTGTCACTTTTCAGCTGTTCGGTTAGTCTAAGGCCGTGCGTAGCGCGTTTATTTTCATGGTTTAATTTGGGTCCCCGGACACTGAAAATACGGGGTTTCTTTGGATCAGCCGCAAATGCCACGGGAGAGCGGTCGGTTCATGAAAAAAGAAACTATTACTTCGTACATGAGACAATAAATGCCGTGCTTCGGAGTTGTAACATGCTTGCGAGTGTGAAACACCTATAGAACGTGCAACCGCTATTTACTTCAAAACAATTCTGATCCTTTAGTGTCTGATGCATATACAGATATTGCGTGCCAAAAACACACTAGACCATGATTCATGCCATAGTGGAGGGCTTTAAAAATCCCAGCAATCTGCAGTTGTTGAGCGTTCACCGTCGCACACGTAGGCTTACTACTGACGTGTGGCCTCGATCGAAATGCAATGGCTGCGGCCTACATCGAGCCCGCGACCTTCGGGTAAGTGGTCGATCACTGCAGTCACTACAGCACAGCGGCAGGCAAAAGCAATTCTATTGTTGTACTGGATGGCTTAACTGTGAAACGGCTAAGCGTTCGCCAAAGCAGGAATTTATTCTCCCCTCGGGACAACTTACCATTTGTATGCGCCGATGCCGGCAGGTGAATGTTTTGTCAGGCCGCAAGCTTTCCTTCCTCCATTTTTTAGTATCTGTGACTTATAATTCACTCATTGAAAGTGTCTCACTGCATTACAATGACGCTTGAGTGTACCTATTTTTTAACGACGGCTCTGCTTAATCCCCCTGTAGGCCCGAACAATATCTTGACGGCACATGTAGTACCTGCGAAATATAAGCGCTTCGAGCGCGCCTGTATTTCAGAAGCCAGGGTCATGCGTAGTGCATAAAGAGAGTGTCCGTGTGTTACCTAAGCTATTTCTCCATCGTGAAACATACGTTTCGTTACCCATACTTCATGTTTACGGACAACGTGCTTTTATTGGCAATCATTATAAACACCGTCGCGTTTGCGTAAGTATGCCCTTCAAGGCAATATGTTATTTCTCACTACGAAAGCTTGCTTAGACATTCATAATAATAAGTGGCCAGTAAGACAAAGAATGCGTGGCAGCAGTAGCCGAGATGGGCACTAGAAACTGGATTTATAGACTATTGTCCTGGTCTATAAATCCTCTCTCACTTTAATTTTGCGCTTGCATACCAAAAAATTATTGCCCAGATATTTTTGATGAAGACCTCTTACCTTACCGGTCAGCTTTATTTTCCTTCAATCGCGAAGTGCTCCCACCCTAGTGAACAGATGAACTATTTCTAGCCTTCATTGCTTGTAATCTCAGTGATGGTATAGGCCCAGAAATACTTGGAAAGAGGGCCAAAAACCGCCTTGTCGCATTTTGAAACAACCTTTTTGCTCCATCAGCTGTCTTCATAGTTTGATAACTTTATGACTCTTGAGGTGCCTCACTAAAATGGGGACTGCAGAGTGCTCTTTTAAAGCAAAGCCGTATGCTTATAGAGTCTCGCAGAGCTAGCCTAAGGACAAAACATGCCTAGAACAATTTTAAGCGAACACCTAATCAAGCGTTCCTGCCTCGAAAAAATTGACATAGCGCGAAAGCAAAGATAATCACGAGAGATTTCGCGGATATGGCAGAATAATGCAAACATTTTTTTTTCAGACAGTTAAGACTGCTTACATAACAAATGAACGTCATCCGGTTTTCGTACTTTTGAGATAGCGGTGTTCCTTGTGTTCATTTCGAAGCTGTGGTTGCCCGTGGTTGGAGAAATAACAAGCGTCACGCAAGAAAAGCACATGCACCTTCGAGTGCACGTCTTCTTGTTCATTAAATAATGTGAATAGTGATTAAACATAAATTCACTTCAGCTATATTTCCTATAACTACCATAGTAACAGGGTTGCTGAAAGTCTTTTTTTTTTTTGTTGCAAGTTCGTTCCTCTGATGAAATCTCTGAGTTCTTCTTTCGGGATGCATAGGGGTATAAAAAGCGCAATCTCACTACAATTTTTGGGAGGTGCGTCCTTTTCATACGGTACTTGTCACTGAGAATATGCCCAGTTGGGCTCATTTTCGACCCATTATGCGAGCGCCTGCACCACATAGGTGCACACGATGATCGATCGATTGATTTTCTTTGTTGTAGATGGTACAAATCTTCAACTCGTGTCGTGATCAGCCATCTTTGCACAGTCTACTGTAATAGCCCAGATATTACTACGTCAAAAAGCCAGACTACGTAGAACCAAGGACTTTATTTACGAAACTTAACGGCAGTACTCATAAGAATTACGTTGGTTACACTGCATATGAATGCGCTAAAATAAGTTTGATCAGCTTATTCACGTGGTCTCTTCTATAGTGTTACCCAGACTGTCAAGGCAGCTACGCTTGCAGAAGCTACACTATTTCTCAGTTCGCGCCATATAGCTTGCAGGAGCTATGTAGTGCAGTTTTTCTAACAGCAGGAGCTTCACGAGTATAATATCGATTAGCATAGACAAGAAGAATGAAATGAAAGAGCTGGAGAAATGAGTGAGCAGTGAATTGAAAGAACAATGTGTCAGTGAAGTGCAGTGGTAGCTTCCGTAGTGAGCTTATTGGCTCTGCTCCTGTAGAAGGAGTATATGCTTGTCAGTACAATATAACAAGCTTGAATTGCATTCTTTCATGTGCTCTGGTTTTACCGATCAAAATTCTTAACATCGTTCGGCGCAGATTGAGCCGCAGTGTTGTAGAAGTTTCGCAATTGCATGAGATCGTTTTTGAAGACTACGCGCAGAGAGTGAATAGTTAGGTTGATTCGAGAGCTTACGAGAGAATCAGAGTGTTTTATGTGCCGCATCTATAAATGGCGGTGCACCTCTTAGTCACCCTCATAGCCTTTGACGGCGCCACAGAAAATAACAGTGCGGTGACCGTGCCTGCGTCTGAACGAGCACAACAGAATGTCGGCTCAGTGAGAAACTGCCGCGCCGATACTTCGGCCCCTACAAGCTGCTTAGACGTCTCGGTGCTCTAGACTACGAGGTTTCAGAATAAGCAACATCATTGTTTCCGTGGCCCTGCATATCTGGCAGAGGTTGGGGCGAGTCAGGCTGAACACGTCGACAACAAAAGTGGTCGAGATAGCCCTCGGACTTCTCATGTACACGAGCTCGGAGATGCTGCTACACCTCGACATGCATGACAAGCTAAAAGAGAGGGCACACGTGTCTCAAGATGGGGCACCGTTTACAAGACTTTCCACCATGAGTATCGAGCAACATACTGAGAGAGAGCTTGAAGTTCCCCCGACAGAAATCGGCAGCAGGCACTACAGGCTCCCTCAAAAACAGAAAGAGCCCAGTACCGTTGCCCATACCTCGGAACATCCACCCTTCGTACAATGTAAGTAGACAAGGGGTGTCGGGTGGAGCGATCGGTGCTTGCGACTCGTATAAACAAAATCGAGCTGCGGGTGAATGCTAGGGTCGGCACCTATATCAACTGGCTTCAGTGACGTTTTCCTGGAAGCGCGCCTTCGGAAACACGTACTGGTGTGAGGCGGAAAATCTGCGTCAGCTGCCTGTATGACCTTGCAGTGGGTGCAAGCGATTGTGGGGGACTCTGATAGCGACGGCAACAAGCGTCCACGGTACGAGCTCAAAGCGTGATGCCATACCAACTAGCCCAAGCTGCCACGCTTCAAACTTACGACTTCGAGTGCTCGCCATGGACTGCGACTCTGCTGCGATAAATGACCTTACGAATACGTCGTTGCAGATCTCGATGACTAGGTGCATACGAGCAGGGTTCTCGAACCGTGTAAACATGACTTTTGCTCCAGAACACTATGCACGAACTTGTGAAGACCACGTGCATCACGGGGGGTTTGTGAGAGTCGAATTCCAGAACGTGCTGAGTGCACATAGTGAATAAACCTATATACTTCATTTGCCCATTATAAGTCTCACCTGAGCAGCGACATATGAAGGCCGGCTTTCTCAGTTTACACCGGAGAAAAGAGCATCTGTACTACACTATTGGCTAGGACTAAAGCTCCCCTCGAAGATGCGTATGTGCGTGGGGCCCATGCCCGGAGTTGCTGTTCCGTCTACGCTAACAGTACCCAAACAGAAAAACATTCATTGAAGTTACTTTTGATCGAGATGGTAAAGTTAAAAATTGCTGGATGGTCCGGACCACAACGGCTTAAGTTTGCGAACCGGTCGTAATAGCCGTGGGCCTGCTAGACAACGTGAGAACGAGCACATACAGTGACTCGATATCGACAGTCCGAGCATTCACGAAGGGTTAGTCTCGCAATCAGCCTTGAAGATCCTACGTAATAAGTACGCTCAGCAACACAGTCGTCTGGTTCCCCGACCACGTGGGACAGATCGAGGGAGCTCTCTCCCACCTCAACGAGTCGACGTACAGAGCTGCGCGAACAGTCGTCGAGCGCGTAGTTACCGAATGGCACGGCGAGGAGGCTCTGGACAACAAAGATCCCCCAATGACGTACAATGATCTCACTAAGAGCTTCTATCTGATGTGGCGAAGGTATGCGCCGCCGCACAGTAAATTGAACAGGCCTCAGGCATTGACATTTAAGCTCTTGCATGTCGTCGTATATATCAGTCGCGCACTCTTGCACAAGATCTATCTAGAAATTCAGACGTCGCAATCTTCCATGCTTTGCTCAGGCTTTGATAGCTTAGATCACATGCTCTCGTTGTGCATTAAGTTACGTGTGGACGAAAATGTTTTACATCATCGAAGTGGGATGCTGCGCTACGCAGACTGGATTTGAGGACCCAGCTATACAGACAGTCTGACGGGCCCACGACGTGGCTAACGTCGCGGAGAGGCTAAGCCTATCTGTCCCGATGTGGGAGCGTCCCGCTACGTGCTAGTTGAAGTCCCTTCAGGCCTATATAAAAAGTTTCCACACCACAGTATGTCAAAATTTTTTGGCTGCCTTATACAATCCCGCTGTTAAAAAGCGACAATTAGCCAAAGGTAATAAATACTATTCTCTTTTGACCGGACTGCCTGTCACTCCGCAATAAAAACGTTAATTTAATTTCTATAAATGCTATTGTAAGTGACTTCATGCTTTGGGCCGCTGCAAAAAAGTAATTATGAAAAAAGCGTAGAGCTATTTCAATTATCCTGTTCCTGAGGATTTTCGGAGGTATTTTTGAGAGACTTTACATAGTTCCCCACCATTGTGGTTCCCAATACATACATACATACATACATACATACATACATACATACATACATACATACATACATACATACATACATACATACATACATACATACATACATACATACGTACATACATACATACATACATACATACATACATACATACATACATACATACATACATACATACATACATACATACATACATACATACATACATACATACATACATACATACATACATACATACATACATACATACATACATACGTACATACATACATACATGAGGAACTATCACCAGAGACGACCTACTTCAAGGGACAAATAGTTGAAATGCATGGCTTAAATGACTTCGAATATTGCTGTGAACTAATTTAATCTGTTTGGTTTCGTTAAAACTCACGTAACATTTTTTTATCATGTTTCTTACCAGTGCCTCCTTTTAGCTTCCTTCTAAGAAACGAAGAGGCACGAATATGAGCTATTCAGCTGTCTAGAATGAATGTTCAGGTGCACAGGTATTTAAGGCTCTCTTTTATCTTCTCTTTTTGATATTTATCATTATTTATTATCTCCACTATTTTTAAAAAAATCACATGCGACATTCCATGTCATTTCCTCTTTATCGGTACCATCCCTATCAATGGGTGAGGAACATTATCCTTACCACATCAGGATGGGATGGGGGAATCAACTTTACTGAAACGGAACTGAACTTTAATGCTACGCTGTTGACAGCAGCTAGGGACTCTTGCCGGGCACACAATTCTATTTACCGTAAGCCATATGTACCCACAAAGACATCCGCTCACAGTATCACAATCAAGAAAGTCCTCAAGCATTCGCAAGATTTTAAAAACGGAAGGAAATACCGTCCTGGTGACTTGGCCTGTTAAAACTAGTTCCGTGGCATCGTCGTTTTAGGGGGAAGGTCCTCTCAATCTAACTTTGCCCTGCGTCAGGAGTAACCGGCAGTATCAGACAGACAGACAGACAGACAGACAGACAGACAGACAGACAGACAGACAGACAGACAGACAGACAGACAGACAGACAGACTGACGGACGGACGGACGGACAGAGGGATGAACGAACGAACGAAAGCACGGGCAGACGTATGCACGGATGGACGTATGCATGGATAGTAAAATGAACCCCCCCCCCCCGCCACTGCTGCTGCCAGCGCCGCCGCCGCTTTATTGTCGGAATGCCAGGAGACTTTCAGACTTCTGGCAGGAGGCTCTTTGAGACTCCTAGTAGGCGACTTTCACACTCTAATAATTTGAAAAAGACAGGCGTTATACATCTAACATTTTAATTTGCAGTATTTACAGTATCTAATTGCTTTTCAGGCGCAACATCAGTCCTCAACGCCATCCGAATGGTCAACAAGGACAAAGGCCCCACGTTGTGCATCAAACCTTGCAACAATTATGTAAAGGACCGGTAAGAACTCACCCTCGTATTCAAGTCATGCTTACACTAATAGAAGCATTTTAAACTTATGCCCAGAACAATACCTAACAAGACCTAAAACTGATTTGTTGAAAAAAAGTCACTGAAAAAGTCACATCATATCCATGGAGTGAATTATGATGAGTGGGGTGAAGCATCCATCAGCCCGTCCTTGCTTCCTTCCGTCCATTCATTCTTGCTTCCATCCATCCACGCGAACATCCGTGCGTCCATCCGTGCGTCCGTCCGTCTGTCCGTATGGTCGTCCATGAGTCCGTCCATCCGTCTTTCCGTCCGCTCGTGCGTCCATACGTCCATACGTTCCCGTGTCCATACATCCGTCCGTTCGTCTGCTAGTCTGTCTGTCCGTCCGAGCGTCTACCTAGTGAACACTCCAGGTACCACCATCTCGCATCCCCGATGTACATACGTCGGAGTATGTACAGACCCACACCTTAAGGCGCTTCGCCCCTAAAAGTTAGTGCTTAAACGCTACATCGGGAACCCTTTAATCTTCATTGTTCTTACGAGTTTGATTCATCAAGTCTCATCTGTGACTGTCCTTGTAGCCTATTTCTACAAACAGCTGTGAAGTGGACAACAGACATGAGAGAAAAATGTAGAGAAGACGCAGATATGTTACGCAGGAAAGACTCGGGTGGGATACCCTTTACTTGGGAACAGGAGAATGTGGTGCCAAAGGAGAGAACATAGACGAGAACTTTAGTTAGTTTTCTTCTTTGTTTGTTGTCCGCTAATGCGTTGAAGATTGCCAACTAGCACAATAATAAACCTTGCGTCGATGTTAGAAAGGCGCCACGAGGAGTCTTCTATAAAAGCTCCCTCACCCTTTTCTCCACCAAAGGGTAGCCAGCCGATCTAGAAACTGGCTACCCGTCCTGTCTTTCGGGTTATTTCTTTCCTCTTTCCAGTCAAAACAGAAACCATAACGATTGATTTAATCGCCGATGTTGGTTATTATATAAAAAAATGTGACAAGTTGAGTGGTCGAAACGTTGGCTCAAGCGATATTTCCCTTCACTTAAGTTCTTTATTAATGCACAGTTAATCCCGTTTCAGCCTTAAGGTTTGGGTAAAGACCAGCCGGCTGTAAGGACCACCTTTCGAAAAGACAACCGGTTGCCTGAGTGAAAAGTCGCCGTCGTAAATGTCATGCCACCAGACCCTCTTTTCGTTTTTGCCGTGCTCTTTGCCACTACCAGCACAAGTGTGTCAATTAGAGGGAACGACGACGAAGTGATTCTGGCGTAAAACACTGCTGTCACTATCTGTAAATTTTCAAAGTTTTTCTGCGTCTCTGTGGAAGACACTGTTCCAGTTACTGCAGCAATGGACGTGGATTCACCTAGGCTTCCACCGCAACCATCCACGTCGTCTGCAGCTACCACAACAAAGCGTACGGGCCACCCGAGTGATGCCGACACGGAAGACACGCTGATATACTCTACGGTCAGCTACGAAAGCTCCAATGACGGCGACTTCGTGCCTGTGACAAGGCGGCAGCGAAAAAGAAGACTAGTGATGCCGTCTTCATCAACAAGTAAGAATGTGACGAAGATGCGAGAGCCCACGATATACACAATTCTGTTTGTGCCCGTCGATGCGGCTCATAGTCTCAACCGGCTCAATCGTCAAACCACGTCTAGGTCTCTTGAGGAACTCGCCCAGGGAGAGATTGCGGACGTGCGGTTCAATGGCCGTAAGAATATCCTCGTCGTAGGCGTGACTCAACGAAGCACATTGGAAGTGCTGAGCAACGTCAAGATGTTGGATAACATCAATGTTCGCTCATATATATCTGATGGCCGCGACTCTACTGCAGGCGTTATTTACGACGTCGACATTTCCATCAGCGAAAGAGACTTTGCTGCTCTCATCAAACCGGTGTCAGCAGAACTTACCATACTGCAAGCTCGTCACCTTGGCAAATCACGCTGCGTGAAGCTCGTGTTCGAGGGTGACAGCCTTCCATCGCAACTCAAGGTCGGCCATTTTCGACACACATTGCGACCCTTTGTACCGAAGCCCCTTCAATGCCGGAAATGTTATAGATAGGGACATGTCAGTGCTGTTTGTACAAACCTGACTAAGTGCTCGCTATGCTCAGAATCACATAGCACAGACGTTTGCAAGGCAGAATTTCGAAAATGTCGAAACTATCATGGCCCTCACGAAGCATCGTCAAAAGATTGCCCAATGATGAAAAAGGAAATGCAAGTGTTGAGGCAAATGGTCCGGGATGGCACAACTCACAGGGAGGCCGCTGCCCAAGTACGACGCCGGCGGTCTCGTTGTCGGAGGCTCCTGAGGAGACCCAGTGCTGAAGCAAGGACTGAACTTCACCAAACGACCGCCGGCTTACCCCCTCAAGCGTCCAGACACGCCGACAACAAATCCTCCAAGCAAGACAAGAGCATCACCAGCTCGCCTGAAGCATGGCCAGCGCTGCCAACGATAGACCCGCCGTTTGAGCCGCCGCATCGCTCGTCTACAATCACTTCGGAACGAGAATGCAGTGATAGTCGCGACAAAGAAATCGTAGCTATGGTAAAGGCGCTTATGAATACCATTCGTATGCCCTTTACTAGCATTGACAGTCCGGCTGCTAAGAGTGCACTTCAGTAAATGGATGTGCTGAAGCCGGTGTTATCAAGTCTGGAAAGGCACCATGGCTCCGCCTCTGTGAGCCTTTCGTAAACAGGTCAAAGGAGCTTGGATATGTCAGTGGAATGCCCGAGGCCTCAAGCCCCGCATTTCTGATATCCGACAATTTGTGTTTAAAAACCACTTTCCAATTATTGTTATCTGTGAGCCACGGCTACACAATGCAATACGACTATCCAGGTACGAAGCCTTCAAGTCCGCTACCTGCAACGAACACAGTAAAGTCATTGTATATATCAGATGTGACCTTACCTATATTGAGCACCGTGTAGCACCTCACGGTGACAACCAGTATGTCTGCTTGACAGTTAAACGTAGAGACCTCAATTTCACGCTGGTAGGTGCATACATACCACCTTCAAACCGTTTCGAACCAGAAAGACTACGTGCACTGTTAACAGCCACACCTGGGCCATGGATCATCACCGGAGATTTCAACGCTCACCACCCACTATGGGGAAGTCAGAAAACAGACAGTCGCCGAAGGCAAGTATTCTCCTTTGCTCTGGAGCAGTAGCTGCTTTAGGTAAACGACAGAAGCCCAACGTTTCTACAGAGAACGACATACAGCAGCTGCCTTGACTTGACATTTGCGTCACGAAGCCTAAATGGAAAGGTCAAGTGGTTCGCAGACAATGAAACTCATGCAAGCGACCACATACCAACTTATTTAAAGATCAAGGGCCTGGAAAAATTGCCAAACTACGACACTTCGACTCGCATCGACTGGATAAAGTTCAGGTCACTGGCGGAAAAGAGGTGTCAAGAAAATAAAGCGCCTCCTCTTGACACCCTCGAGGGTATGATTAGAGGTACTACTCAAGAAGCGACCTATCATAATCAACATGCTTCAGAATATTGTCAACATCAAGCGGAATTGGAACGGCTCAGAGTGATCCGTCATCGTGCAGAACGAAGATATAGGCGCACTAAGTCCATTCACGACTTGAGGGAGGCAAGGCGCCCACAGAAAAAAATTCAGTGGTGAATCATTTCACTTCAGTCCTTTTGCTGGAAATATCTGTGCGAATCGTTGGATCCACACAAGCCTTTGACGCAGACATGGAGGATTGTTCATGGCCTACGAACATCGCCACATCAACATCGCCCCTTCAAGTGTCTTTCTCTCCACCAAGGCCGCACCGAAATTGAAGTAGCAGAAAATTTCTGCATGAAAGTTGCCGGTCAGGCATCCGCATGCACCACGTGCCACCTAAAGAACGCTCCAGTTTCCAGAGATTCAAGAATGGACACCATTTTCTCTCTAGAGGAACTACAAGCGGCCTTCACAGCATGCAAACGATCTTCATTGCCTGGTCCGGATGGGATCACGTACATGGCTCTTTGCAACCTCGGAGAAACAGCTCGACGGGCCCTTCTATCCGTGTAGAACGACTCGTGGAGCAGCGGATTTATCCCTCATTCATGGAAATCCAGCCGCCTCGTCCTTGTGCTTAAACCAGGTAAATGTTCTCTGCACTTGGCCTCTTATCACCCCATCGCGCTTACCAGCTGTTTCGGGAAAGTGATCAAGAGGAGGATTTTGACTCGCCTAGAGCGGTACCTGGAGCACCACGAGGCATACCCTCATGCTATGACGGGCTTTCGGCGTGGGTGGTCCGCAATTGATAACGTTATAGACCTGGTCTCATCTGTTCAGCATCAAAAAAGACTGAAACGTTTATCTGCGGCGTTGCTCTTCGACGTGAAAGGTGCATACAGTAACGTATCACATGAAGCCATTCTGAATGTCATGAAAAATGTTGTATTAGGGGGTCGGGTTTACCAATGGATCCACAGCTATCTGAAAGGCAGAACTTTTTTGTACAGACGGAGAATGGCACAACAACGCATCATTGTAAGCGTCGTGGTGTGCCTCAAGGTGGTGTTCTTAGCCTCACACTTTTCAATCTAGCGCTACTCTGCCTGGTTGACGCACTTCTAGAATCTGTCCATCTATCTATATATGCAAATGACATCTGCATCTGGGCGTCAGGCGTAACATGCCTTCATTTGCGTGCCTGGCTGCAGAGAGCAGCAACAATAGCGACAAAGTACCTGGAAGAACGGGGATTAGAGCTGTCATCAGAGAAATGCTCGCTTATAGCATTCACGCATAAGGCGATGAGCCCATATGTTATTAAAATCAACGGATACACGATGAACTACGTGAAGACCTACCGATTCCTCGGAGTCATATTTCATCGCGACCTCTCCTGCAGCCCTCACATAGCCCACATGAAAACTAAACTCGTCATGATCACCCACGTACTGAGGTTTCTTGCTGGAAAAACGTGGGGTGCATCGGTACGAGCAATGCTCGTACCGATGCACCCCACTCTGTTCTGTTCCTCGGTTATATGCGATACAGCTTACCCGTGCTTTGCGGAATCCGAAGAACAAACTTGCGCGCTCTCCAGTGGATGAAAGCCCAAGCACTGAGAATATGCCTTGGTCTCCCGAGATGCGCGTCTGCAGCAGCGACAGTCATCATTGCGCGTGATTATCCGCTCAACGCATACATCCGCATAGACGCTTTGAGAATGCACATAAGACATTTCGCTCGGCTTCTATCTCATCACCTCGCCTCACTTCGAACTTTTAGTCCCCACTCAGCGTTCAGCGCAACTGTAGCTCAGCATTGCGCAGTGCTTCCATTGCACTTCACGCACGCAGCACGGCCACCGATACCATTATGGTGCCTACACCCACTTAAAGCCCTTCTTACAATTCCTGGAATTCAAAATCAGAAAAAATCTTCGCATCTAGCCCTGAAACAGGCCACATTATTCTTCCTGCAAGAGAAGCACAACGGATGCCTTCACATTTACACGGATGGCTCGGTGTCTTTAGTAAGCTCTGCAGGGGCGGTGTTTATTCCCGTGAGGCACATCACAATGAAATTTATGACATCGCATTTGACGTCGTCGACAGCTGAAGAACTCGTCGCCAAACGTGCAGCTCTGGAGTTTATAGTGGAAGAGCCTTCGGGAATTTGGTCTATCTTCTCGTACTCGAAGGCAGCTCTTCAATGTCCTATGTCACCCTTTCGCCATGGACCTAATGAACAGTTAGTAGCTGAAATAAGGCTTCTTCATCACCCAGCAATCGAGAAACAGCACAGCATAGTGTATCAGTAGATACCAGGTCTTTGCGGTATATATGGCAATGACCGCGCAGATGAGGCCGGTAGATCTGCACACGATGGTACCCAATACACAGCCATCCCGATCTTAATAACCGATGCAGCTACAAAACTTCGTTCGCTTGCACGTGACCTCACACTGGTACAGTGGAACTCAACACACTTCACAAACGCTTGCCTGCATAACTTGGATCCCGATCTGCAGCATCGTCTTCCCCCAACGATATCTCGAGCTGAGGAGACACTTCTATGCCGCCTGTGGCTTGGAGTGGCCTTCACGAACGCATACTCTTATCCTATTGGAATGGCCAGCTCTCCTACATGCACTTACTGCAGCTGCGAAGAAACCATCGCGCACCTTCTGTGTGGGTGCGCTCATTTCAACGCACAAAGACAAGAACTCACTGCAGCTCTGGATAGACTGGACGATCGGTTTTTGTCGGAACAAAGGATTATGGGTCATTGGCCGAGCCCATCCTCAGCCCAGAAGGCTTTTAAAGCTTTGCTGCGCTTTTTAAGGACAACTGGCCTCAGAGACAGACTTTAGTGTCTTATACTCTTTGATGTTGCCTTTCCTCTGTCGCAATTTTTTTGTAATTTCTCTCTCTCTTCGCAACATTTCTTTTTAACATCTTTCAATCCCCTCACCCCTTTCCCCAGCACAGGGTAGCCAGCCAATCTAAGAACTGGCTAACCTCCCTGTCTTTCCACTTAAACTTTCTATCTCTTCGCCTTCCATGTGCCAATTTGTTTGGCGTGGGTTGCAATAACTCTGATGGTGGATAACGCGGGTACAAAGAAAGGGTATAAATGATAGAAAACACAGAGAGAATGAAACAGGGAGGGTAAAAGAACAAAGAAAGCCCCCAAGGTCAACTCATCTCTTAGGCTTGGTGCCTTAAGTGCGAAGCTACATTTGTCCTCATTTTTTTCTCTCGATAAACTTGAGTCTGCAATTAGCATCCGTACTTTCAAGATCTTTACATTCGCATCCTTAACGGAACTCCTGACAAGTAGTGGCCTAAAACATTGATAGTTTCTTGAAGACCAGTACTCTGATACGACGCTGTTACTCCTACTGAAGAGACAACGTCATGACTTCTTATGTTGTCATTTGAGCTTCAGCTGCCCAAGTTTCTTCCTAGGACTTTTTACGCCTGGTTTCTAGAAGCAGCGGACTGTTTTAAAGGGTGTAGAATAATTGCACAAACAGTACGCTATAGCTGCACGTCGTAGACACCCTATTCTCTGACAACGCGGATGCCGCAAATGATATAATTTCTGGAGACCTCCTTCCCCAACTCCCAGCTTCCACATGGACCAAAAACACATGACCCCACCGCACCTTGAAGCAAAGACAGAAGGAACGTTGCACCAGCTCCTGTGGCGAGGGGAACACAGTGACGAAAGACCACCACGGTTGCAGCCCCGAATGAAAGAATTGATTGGTGAGCACTCTTCAAAAGAGAGCCAGCTGTTAATTTCTCGTGAACTGTTCCGCAAGCCTCCCACTGTCTGCAGAACTGTCCCGCAACGCGTTATGCAAGCGAGCTTTAATGATATAAACTGAGAGAAGTTATATACAGTTGGTCACCACATATTTTACTGCTTGCTTTAGACACCACCGTCCGATATCTCAGCGAAATTCCACTAGCCAAGAAAGGGACGGTCGCACCCGGTGGGAACAGCCAGTCACTTGACTCATGCACTTGAGAAGCTGAAGACTCGCGCCAAGCAAGACGCCCAACCTCGACGCAGTAAATTCTAGAACACCGCCATCACTTTCGTTAAGAACCAGCCTATTTCCCAATAGATGTCATAGCATGATTCCTGCTTCGTAGAGCCACAACGCGGATCTTATCTGCAGTTCTACTGGTGCATCCACTACCCTACACGCAAACTGCCCTAATGAAAGCACGTCGATCACCTAAGTGAATGAATACTGCAGCTGCATCATAAAACTGGCTTGAGGGCTTGCCATAAACTAAGGAGCGTCTTCCATCGGCACTGCTTCGTAAAACTCCACTGCAAATGACAATTGACCACCATAATATTGTGAAAAAGAAACGCATCAAGGTTTTTTGTTCAGCAGATCAAACCATAATTCTCGACAGCATGGATAACCCATGCCGCCATGCCACAAGAAAGTACAGGTTTTAAATAGATATGAACCACTCGTAGAGTTTGATGACAAACAGAAATGAAGTCACTGTTAGATCAGCTAAATGTTGCAAGCGTGCTCCACATGTAGATTGTAAGGAGGAGCTCGAACCAGCCTATTTGCCAGGCACCCTTTTTCTAAAGAAGCCTGGGCTTGTTCTCTTCGGAGCTGCATGCATCTGCGATTTGGCGACACACAAAAGACGGTTGGTCGATAGCCGGAATTACTGAAGAGTGGTGTTTCGATTAGGTGCGCTTCTTGCCACGTGAGGTCGCCATGTGCTGCCGCCGCTCTCCATAGTCTGCTAACCTTACACTGAACATTACATTGTAGCCATGCTCAAGAATATTCTAGCCATATGGTTCCTAAAATTAACAAGGCGGAACTCTGGCGCAGCGATTGTTCCGGCACCATCCAAGACTTCTGTGGTTTTTCATTGATCTTACATTTAAGTCTCGTTACGATAGTCTGGTTTGTCCGCTCGTTCATGCCGTTGCATTGTGGATGATGAGATGAGGTGAATAGTTGGTGTATACGATTATGTTTAAAAAAGTGCTTGAATTTTTCTGCAGTAAATTCTCTTCCACGATCTGAAAGGAACTTCCGTGGTTTTCCAGAAGAAAAAAAATTGTTTTTAAGCATAAAATGTAGGCGTCGCTGTTCTCACTTTTATGAGCAAACGCCCATACGTAGCGAGTCGCATGATCAATAACCAAGTGTATAAACTTTTTTGACGAGCCATATCCAGAAAATCATTCCATGGTGTCTATTGCAAAGAGGTCGAAGGGCTCTTCCGCCGGAGGCAGTGATTCAAGCGTCCCAAACACTTTTGTTTTCGTATTTTTGCATCTCTGGCATGTATTACAATGCCGAATGTAAGTGGAAACACCGGTTACCATATGCGGCCAATAATATTGTGAAGACAGGAGTAATAGCGTCTTCTTCACTCCGACCGTGTGACGCTATGATGAATGGGCGACGTGACCTGGCTCATACGCCATGTTTATTCGAAAGCACTTCTTCCTCCTCGGCTTCTACTTCTAACTCCTAACCATCGCTACCTTCTTACGTTACAAGATTCCCCTTCCCCAGAAGAAGTCGCGTCAGAAAATCAACAAAAAACAAAACAAAAATGCAGAGCTTTAAAGCGAAAATTGTCAAAATGCACCATAGTTCCATTTCAGAAGGCAGTTCCTTAACTCGCACAAAAAATCCACAGCAGTCTGGTCATATCTAAGAGAACTCCGGTGGACGAGGCTGGCTGTTGCCTCCTGGATGGCATAACCACACCCTGGAGATCTGCACTGGCGATGAGATGGGTTGAGTTCTTGTGAGGAATGGGCAAGCATGGGAGTCCCTGTAGCATTTTAAGTTCGGATGTCGAAGGCGTCGAATTATGTGTCGCGGTGGGAACAGACTGTGTGCTTCCAGTTTGCGAGTGCGATGGTCGCGGCCGACGGAATGGTGTCTTAGTCTCTGCGTTCTACATATGATGCCTTTGCGTCTCTTCCGTCGTTTTCTGTGGTTTCGGAGCTGTAATCGTCAGCGCAGTCATGATCTCTTGTGCCAAATGCGTTTGTGGCGCCGATACCTTATGCGTATATGCCTCACGTCTTGAGTTTGCTTTAAGAGGCTCGCTTTGCATTTGTCCTTGTTTGTGTATCTGCTGGAGCGTCTCGAATCCTTGGACTCGTTTGTGCTGGCGTTGCTGTGGCTGTATTGGGACCTGCTGAGGTGGGAGTGCTCCTTGAACATCATGCCGGTTTTCTTTACAAATTGATGTAGTGTCCAGTCACCAGTCGTTGCCACGCTTTCCAGGCAGCGAAGTTGGTAGGACAGATTTTACTGGGGGAACATCAGAGGCGCCTTTGACAGTATTCATTACGTAGGCTTCTGGCACCTGGCAAACTGTCAGAGTCGCTTCTGAGCCTCCTGTGTTTGTGCTTTCAGATGGCTGTGCTCTGAATGGCGACGCCGCAACAGGCGTGGTTTGGTCAAATTCCAGTTGGGAATGACTGCCTTTCTGTGCAACGAACGATGTGAGTTCTTCTGACGCATGAAACTGAACTGTAGGTGACGGGCTCGACTGAGTATGCTTGGAGCTTCTCCACTCTATTTTGACCATAGTGAACGCGTGAGACGCGAGGTGGCCGCTGTGATCGACCGAAGATCCACGCGACGGAGAAGCAAGAGGTTGGTCAATGCGTGAAGGCTGCTTTTGACTGTGACGACCGAGTGCAGTTGTCTGTGGATGGTGGGCTACAAGCAAGTTTTCGTCGTAGTCTTCATTGTATTTTTTAAACCAAACGATCATTCCTTTTTTTATCTTTTCCCATAACTCGTCGTTTTGAAATATGTGGGTGAGGTAGGATTTGAACGCCTCGCCGGAGACGTAGTCAGTAAAGTTGGTTACCATCTCCTGTTCCGACCATGATGCAGCGCTAGTGTGGAGCTTGAAGAGGTCGAACCAGTCTTGTACGCGTCCATCGTCCGCTGCTCCGGTGTACTTGGGGATGGGAAGGTCAGTATATGCTTCTGACATGATGCTGGTCGATGCGTAATGCAAGGTGCCTGTCCATGTATGCTCAGGGTGTCATGCGGCGAACTGCGTAGATGATGAGCGACTGATGATGAGCAATAAACGCATGGCATCTGGACCACGACGTGACTCCATTTTGTAGCGTCACACACACACACACACACACACACACACACACACACACACACACACACATATATATATATATATATATATATATATATATATATATATATATATATATATATATATATATATATATATATATATATATATATATATATATATATATATATATATATATATATATATATATATATATATATATATATGAAAGAAATAAAAAAGCAAAAAAAGGCTCCGGTGCGCGGAATCAACCTTGAGTCCTCTCAATCGTGAGTGTGAGGCATTAACTATGGAGCCACCGAGGAGCACGTCGTTCACCATTCAAAAGGCAATCTATTTATATCTACGACTTACCGCTGCCCACGGGCTCGCCGTGGTGGTCTAGTGGATAAGATACTCGGCTGCTGACCCGCAGGTCGCGGGCTCAATCCCGGCTGCGGCGGCTGCATTTCCGATGGAGGCAGAAATGTTGTAGGCCCGTGTTCTCAGATTTGGGTGCACGTTAAAGAACCCCAGGGGGTCGAAATTTCCTTAAGCCCTCAGCCACGGCGTCTCTCATATTCATTTGGTGGTTTTGGGACGTTAAACCCCACATATCAATCAATCAATACCGCTGCTCACGGGCGTCTCGGAGTGAACTTTCATGCTTTAGCATTACCAGCAAGATGGCGCAGTGAGCGTGCGTCGTGGACGTGCGGCAGCGTGCACTCTAATCTCTCACGCGTACTTTGCTCTACTTAGAGGAGGGGGGCGACGCTCCCTCACGCACCCTTTTCTCGCGTTGGGGAGATAGGGAAGGCCATACGTCTTGGCTGGCCTCGGGCATTACATAGAACAATTTTCTTGTAGTTACCGAGTGCACAAAGGTCACTGCAACCATTGCAATCTCCATTCGCGAAAAGCGCGCGCTTTTCAGACACAGCGAAGTAACAAGTGAGATACCTCGTCGGGTGCATCTGTACCTGTGAGTACGTTTTGTGCGTCATTTATGCATGGGAAACGTGGGGCGCATTCCAATCTGCTTTTCATTTTGCTCGTGAACTTCCAATTTGTTGCTATCATGTTCACTGCTTCACCTTTGCGCCAAAGCTGCGACTTTTTTTTTAAATGAGCTCATTCTGTCGTCTACATCGACATTTTTAACTCGTGGTCCTTGTCACACTACCGAACATGATGACACATACAACTATAATTTACTCTTCGTCTGCTTTGCTGCTGCGTGTGTGTGTGTGTTTCTCTTTAAGCTCGTAGTATTTTCTTGCGTTCAAGATTTTTGAGGGAATTTTTTCGCACTGTAATCTTAGTTATTTCAACTTCACATCAGTAGAGGTCAAATAATTTTGTCGCAAGTAAACTGCGTAAAATGCATGCATGGGTTACCACAGGCAACATTAGGTCAAGCTATTACTGCTTACAGTTTGTTTGCAAAAAGTGATTGCAGAAGGCGCCGCCGCGGTGGTCAAGTGACATAGGTACACGGCTGCTGACCCACAGGCCACGGGATTGAATGCCAGCAGCGGTGGTTGCATTTTCAAGGAAGGCGAAAATGCTATAAGCCCGTGGGCTCATATTTGGGTGCACGTTAAAGAACACCAGGTGGTCGACATCACAGGAGCCCTCCCACTGTGGCATCTCTCATATAATCATGTGGTGGTTTTGGGACGTTAAACCCTACATATAAATCATGTGCTTGCAAAATAGTCTGTTTCCTTCTTTACTAAAGGCTATGATAACAACAATCACCAACAATCACCAACAATCAATAATCGACTACATTCATACTGTGAATCAGGCAATAAATAAATGCTCATAATACAGCCAACCACTATACATGACCTTCATAGATTAGCAGAAGACGTTTGATTCAGTAGAAATATCAGCAGTCATGCAGACACAGCGGAATCAGGGTGTCGACGAAGCATATATAAACATCCTGGAAGAAATCTACAGGGGATCTACTGATACTATAGTGCTTCATAAAGAAAGCAACAGAATACCAATCAAGAAGGGTGTAAGGCAGGGGGACACAATCTCCCCAATCCTATTTACCGCGTGCTTACAGGACGTTTTCAGAGGCCTAGAATGGGAACAGTTAGGGGTAAGAGTTAATGGAGAGTACCTCAGTAATCTGCACTTCGCCAATGACATTGCATGGCTGAGTAACTCAGGGGACGAATTGCAACTCATGATTACGGAGTTACACAAGGAGAGCAGGAAAGTAGGTCTTCAAATTAATCTGCACAAAATGAAAGCAGTGTACAACAACCTTGGAAGAGAACAGCGCTTCGATAGGCAATAGTGCACTGGAAGATCTAAAAGACTATGGCTACTTAGGACAGGTAATAACCACGGAGCCAAACCACGAGACTGAAGTAACTAGAAAAGTAAGAATGGGGGGAAGCACATTTGGCAAGCACTCTCCAATAATGACAGGTAGATTGTCACTATCCCTCACGCAGAAGCTATATAATAGCAGCATCTTGCCGGTACTTAGCTACGGAGCAGAAACCTGGAGACTTACAAAGAAGGTTCAGCTTAAATTGAGGACGACGCAGTGAGCAATAGAAAGGAAAATAGTAGGTGTAACCTTAAGAGACAAGAAGAGAGCGGAGTGGATTAGGGAACAAACCAGGGTTAGGGATATCATAGTTGAAATCAAGCAGAGGAAATGAATATGCGCCGGGCATGTAGCATGTAGACAGGATAACCACGGTTCATCAAGAATAACTAACTGGATTCCAAGAGAAAGCAAGCGGGTTAGGGGGAGACAGAAGGTTAGATGGGCAGATGAGATTAAGAAATTTGCGAGTGTAAGTTGGCAGCAGCAAGCACATAATCGAGTTGACTGGCGGAACGTGGGAGAGGCCTTTGTCCGGCAGTGGACGTATTCAGGTTGATGATGATGATGATGATGATGATGATAATGATGATGATCAGAGCCCTTTTGACAAGCAATATTGTCTTTAGGTATTTTATTCCACTTTTTCTCATTTCATTTCATTTTCCATTTCACCATGATTCTCGCGCAGTTTTATTCTTTTCACGGCATCGTAAATAAATATTAGCTGTAATGGAATAACAAGCAAAGTATACGTACTATAGAACCACTTGGATTTACTGTTTTCAGGCGCTATTCTTATTGACCACGTTGTTTCTTTTATGTCCGCAGTGCATTCGTTATGCCAATGGAAGCCATACTTGTCATCCGGGATGCCAGTGCGCTGTAACACCAAAATTTTGTGGACCTAACGCTGGGCCCGGCAGTTGTACTCATGCGTTATTGTCTACCAGAGGCAAATGACTCTAATGATGCCTTGAATCTCTTGTCACTGTAGGTGACCTGTTACTTTACCTTGGTTGACCCTGGTTAATAGAATAAAGAAAATACTCGTTTTCAACGCACATGAACCATAATATGCAATCACTCATTCACTGAATTAATCAACCAAACAAGTTATATAACGTGCCGAGGAACTACCGTAAAGTGCATGTACAGAGACGTATACATATACGGGGCTTGACATTGACGTCGACGCCGACGCCGGCGCTGAAATCCAGCCGAGAGTGTCCATAAACTTGCTATCGCAATAAAAACATCAGGACCAAAAAAGTGTATAGAGACTGTATTCTGTAATTGATAAAGTGTTGGAAGAAACTGGCCGGTGAAGGAAATGGCTGGTTCCTTTTACTTAACTTACATAGATTTCGAAAACTAATGCAACTGAGAAGTCAATAGCAGGATATTATACCTTGAACTAGCTGTTAAAAGTTATGGGTCAGCACGATTTCATCCGTGGTAAAGTGATAGCAATTATAATAATCTAGCAGTGTTTGAACAGGATCTCGATTCCTTCCTAGTCAACGAATGGTTGTAAGCTTTTATGAATTTTTTCTTAGACTCCCTCATTAGCGTTACTGCTGGATTTGGCAATGCCATTCCGGACCACAGATGCGCACTCAAGTTGGGGAAGACATATTGCGGTGTACAATTTGTGGAAGGCTGTTGGAGAGCATAATTCTCGAGTAACTCTGCAAACACAAAGCAGAAAGTAATGACATAATAATAATAATAATAATAATAATAATAATAATAATAATAATAATAATAATAATAATAATAATAATAATAATAATGGATCAAAACCTCATGTATTCATGCATTAGGCGCCAAATATTGTTCTTATCATGTAGCCCAGATGGCATTCCTTCCACTATACTGAAGGCGGAAGGGATGCCATACTTGCCTTAGTGGCGTACACGTGTATGCTTTTTTGCTCCCACCTTTAGCGGATAGTGTACACGCCACTGACAGCGGACAACGTGCGAGCATAAAAAGCTTGACGAGCAAGCTCCTGAAAGAACCTCGGCTACCGCAACCTTCTTTCTCGCTGCATCTGACTTGACAGTCAATTCTGTTAGGGTATCTTTTAGAATAGTCTGAATTGACGGTCAAGTGTAGCCTAGTTGAGTGGTCTTAATTACAGCTGGATGTACCCGTTTTATCTAAATTGGTAATATTTGTCTAAAGATTTCTTTAATGAGGATTTAAATACTTATTTCAGTATGGATAAACAAATCAGTTTTAACTATTTAACTCAGTAAGGGCGCTTTCATAACCAAGGCACCACCCTACTCATGGCCTATCCGCCGGAGAGAGTAGGGCCAAGATATCGAGCAATTAATGAACCAACCAACTTTACTAAGAATATGTTTGGGCAAACCTTTGTCCGAATATGATTATGGATTCGAGTCTCTTTGTACTTACATTGTGAACTCAATGCCGTACAAGCTTGCAAAGTTTTAAAATTGCACTATTATATGTTAAGAGGTTCAGGATTTGATAACTGACAAGCTTTGAGGACTTGTAGTTTGAACCTTTGCATACATCATAAGTGGAAAGTTTCATACCGTATGCACCCGCAATCTTTGGAGGTTCGAGTTCGTGTATACAGCGGTGTTCAATGCTTCGACAGACAACCCGCTCAGAAGGCACAGTATTTGCACTTTAGGGATGTCTTCCTCAGTGGACAACAATGCGTTACACAGGGATAGTTGGCGCATGTTAAAGTGAAAAAAATAGCAGTGGGGAACACGAACTACAGGGAAGGAAGACGACAGGGAAGCCTGTCTCATCGTTACTTACCTTTCTTTGCGCTTCGTGTTTCCCGCTGGTTTTTATTCAATCCTCAGAAGAACACTGACATGGTAGTTTAGAAGAATCTTACGAACACCGACATGGTGAGTTCATCAAAATTTAACGAAATCGAAAATCCTTTATATAAGCTTTACACCTTATCCTAGACAGGGCGTTTATTCCATAACCATGAAGGTCAACAAGGCCTTCAATGAAATCATTCTCATATTTAGTTTGGACCACGGGGACGATAACTTCATGTATAGTTCAGACATATTCACTCTGCGCACATAAATTCGTAACACATTTGTCAAAGCTCTCACCTTCAGAGCATAAGGGCATGTGTTCATACTCAGTACCACCAAGAAAATATACTGTTTATTAATAAATTGATACATGTGATCGTCTTACGGGACATAGCGACGAACAAACCGTAATCAAATGATGTCGCCATAAAAATGGATAAAAAGTTACAGTATATCTACGGAGTGAATAATGATGAGTGGGGCGAGGCGTCCATCAGTCGTTCTGTGCATCCGTCCATCCATTAGTTCTTGCTTCCGTCCGTCCATGCGTCTGTCCGTGCGACCCCCTTGTGTCCATCCGTCTGTTCGTGCGTCTATCTATCTGTCTGTCTGTCTGTCTGTCTGTCTGTCTGTCTGTCTGTCTGTCTGTCTGTCTGTCTGTCTGTCTGTCTGTCTGTCTGTCTGTCTGTCTGTCTGTCTGTCTGTCTGTCTGTCTGTTCATCCATCCGTCCATCCATCCATTCATCCGTCCGTCCGTCTACATAGTGAACACTCCAAGTAGCTCGATCTGGCATCTTTTTATCATATATTTATCATATGCAAGTACCGCCATCCAGTGGATATAATAAGGTCTAAACGAGAGGTGGGGGAGGAGGAGGAAACAACTTTAATGACGCCAAAAATGGGTAAGGTGAGGGAGGGGGATGGGGTCAGGGAAGAAGAAGGTGGCTACTACTACAAACTAGAGACGTACGACCCACGGCGCAAGAAGCTTCGCTCCTAAAAAGAAAATAATAGTTGCCTCCAACTTAGAGCTCAAACAGCAGTTGGCTAAATAGAGAACCATGTATGAAAGATACAAAATTCGAAAAACTAGCCAAAAGTGGCCAACTTGAACCATGGGTAGTGAAAGTTGCCGCACATGTGGGAAAACAACATTCTTGTTTTTCTTTGAATGACTAAAGGCGAGAGCATTTCACCAAAGATGTAAATAGCCACTAGTTCAGCAGTTCGTTATCCGAAGTGCTGCGATTCAAACATAAACTGCTGACTGCCACGAGCATAATCGCTTGTACTGCGTGGTATCGTTACTGGAAGATTTGTTTGTGCCACTATGCGAAATACGCTGAAGATAAGCTGGGGGAAAGAGGACGGCCAGTTAGTTAGCCAGTGATCGAACTGTCCCGACGTTCTGCTGACCTCCAGTTAAAGTTTTCTCTCACGTTATAACGTGACATTCACTGGTGGAGGTTCGCGTATATATGTAGTGGTAGCTTGCACGGCAAAGCTCATGCAAGGTACCTACTATAGGTCATGGCGATGATGCTGATGATGAAGGAGATGATGATCATTGATAACGACTGGTGTTTGCAGTATATGACGTCTCGATATGCTCCACAATGCCCTTCTTGTCTCTGTAAACAACCAACAACCACTGAAGGAACATGCACAGGCCTCACCTTTTCCAACTTCATGCTATATGCGGTACCACGAAGGAGTAATAATGGGGGCAAAATAAAATTCACAACTCAACACAAAATATCATTTATGACCAGTAAAGATTCTATATAACTGGACACCGCTTTGTCACTCATTTAGTTGCGAGAGTGTCAATGTCACGGATGATTTAGGTTAACACCGAACGATCCCACCGCTTCGCCTATACTCACATTCACACTATGGATGTGCGGTAAATTAGGAGGCGGAAATGTTGTAGGCCCGTATGCTTATATTTGGGTGCACTTTAAGAACCCCAGGTGGTTAAAATTTCCGGAGCCCTCCACTACGGCATCTTTCATTATCATATGGTGGTATTGGGACGTTAAACACCAGATATCAATCAATCAGTGTGCCGTAAATTCTTCTGCTTCCCAACATGAACAATCTCACTTTCTGTGGCATGTAGGGAAAGATTCTACTCCCCTGAAGTAGCCAATTATGCGTTTCGCTAGCTGTTTGTTGCCTTCATCTTTAGTGGACAAGTGGACAGTAGTGGGATTAACCGTTTCGACGCATGCATGCCCGTTTGATAGGCAGTGGTATTTACCCATTGGGGCGCATACAAGTTTCTATGACTGACCGGGACTACCATGACGCATCGTGACGACGGAGGACTCTGACAAAAGCTTGCACTGTAGGCCGTACGATTACAGTACAATTTTCTGTTTTCCGTGCTTGCTTCAAAATTCTCTCAATTCATTTACGTCTAAAAACGGCGTTTCCTGATTAGCTGTTTTTTTCTTAAGTGTTTTTTATTTCCCTTTCTGTGGTCTCTCGAGCCCACTTGAATGTTGTTTTATTTGTCTTTTTCTTTTTTCAGTTTTGCAGCTCTCTATCCGGACCCTAAAACAGAAAACCAAAGCAGCTTGGGGACCCAGCTTGCTATTTGTGCAGCATTTTGTGGTACCTCACAACAAAAATTTTCATCCTTCAATTTTACCCTTGCTGTCATGACGGTAAGCCAAAGTCAATCATATGAGCGAGTAATTACGCTGCAGTACGCTCGAAATTCAAGAGGCTTAACCCACACCAACTATTCAGTTAAAAGGCGTTAGTATGGAGCACACGAGGACGGATAGGTACTGTATTCTGGAATTATTGCTCATAGCCGTCAGTATATATTTCATTCCCTTATCTCTTACCACCCGCCTGCGCAGGGTTGCAAACCGGACGCATGTCTGGTTAACCTTCCTGCCTTTCTTTGCTTTTGTCCCCCTATCTTACCTCTTGTAAAAGAGAAATATTGTACAAATCTGTTTAAGGGCAGACTCCATCAATTTGGGTTGACCCTCTTTGACAGAATAAAAATATAGTGCAAGTATGTCAATGCGCATTCCTCACTTTACTCCTCCGGTCCCAACCATTTGCAGAAAACTAACATAAATTATTTTAATATTATACTATTAATATTACACAAACGCGAAGCCAGATAGCCTTTGTTTATTAAAGTTACAAGGGTGCAATGGGTCTATAGTCGCACTGAATAGGGCATTCTTCAAGAACAAGGCTATCAATAGTCGCGCGCTTAAAAAAGTCGTACCCTGGCCTGAAAGAGCGTTCCCAGAAGCGTTGTGCATTTTGTTTCTCGCATGAGGACCGCTGCATTGTGGGATGAGTTGCTGCAGTACAAACGTAGCCTTCAAATGCCGACTTTGCGTATGTATCGCTTCATAAATAAAAATCTGCATGCTTTGCTTGAAACCGCGTTCCTCGAATTGGAGTTAGGAGGTATTTTCCATTCATGTATGGGAAAAATAAAATATTCTGTCCCAGTTACACCAACACAACTGCCGTTTTCTTTAACACTTTCAATGAGGATGTCCCTCAGTTTTTTGAAATATCAGTAGCATACCCCACCTCTTGGCATCTCTATACCTCCATTAACCCTATATGAAGTTTGAAGTAGAAGTTCGCAAAAAATCGCGAGTGAAATGATGATCAGTAGGGCGAAGTGTCCTTGAGTCCGTTCGTGATTCCGTCTGTCCGTTCATTCTTGCTTCCGTCCGTCCTAGCGTCCGTCCTTGCGTCCGTCCATCTAGAGAACACTCCAAGTACTTTCATCTCACATCTTTTCATCATAAATTTGTCATATACAAGCACCGCCATCCAGCGGGCATTCCCAGCACTAAACGAGAGGTGGCTAACTACTATTACTACTACTACTACTACTACTACTACTACTACTACTACTACTACTACTACTACTACTACTACTACTACTACTACTACTGCTACTACTACTACTACTGCATACATCAAGCGCACAATTGGAACGATTTATTCAAACTTCGGGAGTTACTGAAGGAATGGGCTGAAAGCGAAGTCGTGAAAGACTACAAATTCTGATAAGTGGGCTGATAGGTGCTGCTATTTCATCAAAAAGAAGTTTTCTTTTCGATCAAAAGTTTTCTTTTTCGACGAAACGTTCACAAATTTTGAGAATTTCCAGGCTCCCGTACCTAAAATGTCACCCGATATTTGTAAGAGCTTTTCAGCCGAAAAAAAAAATGTCACTCTTTGCCCGAGATGCCAAACTAAGCTTTAGAACTCTATTTCATCAGGGCCTTTTTCGAAAATGGCGTCTCTGCTTAACTACTAATCGCGAAAGACGATAAAATTACCACTTTATAAGGTTCCCCATCGTGAGGGCCTGTACCATTATGAAAGCTCACGGCAGTATATGTATCGCAGCATTTACATCAATATTGAATAAGTAAGGTCATGTTCGCTGATAATAACGATATTATCTAAAATAATATTTAAAGCTAACTATAATATTAACTAATAACTGATAATTGTGTTACTTTGTGCGCACAGAAGGGTCTCCGTCAGAACCTCAACCTCTTTTTTTTAACTATACCAATAATTCTGTTTTTGTTCCCACACAGTAGGCTGCTAGAGATCTTCCCTTACCCGAGTCAGTCTAGCTAACCTATCAGTGAGAATGCTTCCTGATTTTTATTTTATGGGTCACACTCAAAAATTTTGAGCTCGCTTCACGCAACACTGTCCTTCGGTGTAAAGAGATCCTACACTACTAATCACTGATACTTGGATTTCTCTCCACTGACTACAGAGTCACTAATATTGCCACTTTCATAGCGCTTATTCGTATGCGTGTTTTTAACAAGAACAGGCTGAGGTCCTATAATTATATAATGTGACCTTTTCAAGCCTTTTCATGTAATCAGCCAGCCACTGCTTCTGATTAAGCTTACGAAATTTGGCACTGGCTCTTCAGTTGTCGATATACTCCATGCATATATCTGTTCAATAGCTCACGTCAGGTCGCGGTTGGGCATTTCGCTTTTAAGCGAACTTGAGGTTCTTTTTTTTAGCCCAGTCACTTGTACAACTTTGGATACACTCGTCGCGATTTTTCGGGAATATTTGCATTTTCCAGCGAATATAGTTATTCAATGTTCATCACATTAACCAATATCGTGCTATTCTGTTACTTGGACCTTCTGACTGCTGAAGCCAAATGTAGGATGGGATTATGAAAAAGTAATGCGAATTGTGCTTTGACAAACGTGCACTGAACGAGTGGACACTGCCCTGGAGACAACGTTAAAGAATACGTATATATCTTTTTTTGTAGCTGCACTTATTTACGCTTTGCAAAATAAGTAAAGTGTTTTTTTTTCAACTGTCCTTCGCACTTGAGTAACGTTTTTCGGTATAACAAAATAGTTTTAAGAATAAAACAATTGTTAAATTTGCATATCTTTTCCTTTGGGTTCCCTCCGCGAGGATTATTCGCTAGTTAGCTCGGTCGCATCTGACATCTCTGCGTCAGGCCCATAGCCTTTGTACACGATACCCACTGTAGTGTTTCATGGGCCTTTTCCTCATTTTGGTTGTTGCATTTATTGTCTCTTTCTCAATATTGCCCATAATACCAACTGCATGAAGATTTTATGTCTCGTACCACGCGAGCGTCATGAACATATAACTAATTGCATGTTTGTGTGTGTGCTCTGTTATGTGTTATTCTTCTCTCTCTCTCTCCATTCTTTTCTCTCCCTCTTTAAATCTTTCCCTTCTCGTTCCCTCTTGTAGGACAGCAAATCGTCTTTCCTGGTCTGGTTAACCTTCCTATTTTTCCTTCTCTACCATTTGTTCTTTTCATTTGAAAAGAATGCTCTTGAGGACTGTCCCATCCCGCAATCTTACTTATCTGCTTTCTCTGGTGTGCGACCTCAGCTACTACACGGTCTGTGAGCGCACTGAAGTTATACAAGGGGTTTTCCAACACACTGCATTTGGCTTCAATATGAGTTCGTCATATATATGAATTGATCTACCAAAATACCCACCGACCCAGTTATATACATTAGCCACGATGAACCTGGTGAGCGAGGCCCAGAAAACTTCATGTAAGATCGTTAGCTCCGAAGCAAGATTTACTCAAGCTTTTGGATTATGTTACCGAAACCCTCTTTTTTCAAACCTATAGTGAAAGTAGTGATTTCCTTTTCACGTTCTTTCTGTTCTTTCTACAGACTCAATTTATGAAGCAATTATAACCAGAATATACAAAACAGAGGGATATTGCAACCACCAATTCTAGCCGAGAGCCTCGTAACTATGGTCCTTCTCTATTTGCGTATTGCACAAAACTACAGACACTATGCAGAAACGTTGTGGAAAGGAAATACTTTATTTACATGAAATAAATACACTCCACCCCCCACAATGAGTGAATATGAAGAAAGAACAGGCGCGACGTTTAGGCTGAAAGAAAACAGCATAACAGATATAGAAGGTACACAACTGAAGAAATTGTTTATGGCTATGCTTTGATTCGGTGTGCCAATAAAGCACTAAAAGATGTCAATACATATATTTTTTTCACTTATTAGCACTAGCAACCAGGACCGCAATAGAAGCAGCTGTCTAAGGAAGTTGAATAGATTGTATTAAATTTGAGCTGATTCCCTGTAAGCAGTGAAAACCAGCGAGTCATGTAGCGCCGCTCCAATAAATTGGAAGTCCTTTTCGGTTTTCTGAAACCATCATGATGATTCAAAAACATTGACCTGGTTGCCTTCCCAGAGTTTCTTTCCCTTAATTCATCCCACGATTGTAAGCATAAAGGTCGAAGATCAGCCGACAAGTCCACATCTAATATTATGGTCTAAGTGAAATCTACTCCGTGCAGTAAAAACTGAAAAAAATTGCAACATTAAATTTTACTGAACAGCGCTCTGGTTACATGTCAATACCAGTCGTTGTAATTTCTTCTTGAATCATTGTTTTACTTAAAAGTGGCTGCCATGTACTTTAAATCCAATTTGTTGCTCACACGGGGAATTCAGGCCTAACGTTAGTATCTGTTACGAAAATGCACAAAAACTAGACAAGATAACATTTTAGAAATTACCTTATGCTTCTTATAACATTTTGGTGAGCCGGGCTTTCTTTCATATCATGTCATACGAATCAGTGCTTCTAACGAAAGCATCAGGCACTGAGACTATTTGTTTCTTTATTACCAATGTACTGCTCTCAGAAGTGAGTGACTTTGGTCAGAAATTTAGCTTGCTGGGGTATATATCTTACGACACTGTCATTGAGTCGTTAGCACGATACAGTGCAGTTCAAGAAAGCACTCAACAACAGATGCTTGTAGCAAATGCGCAATCGTACACGTAAGTATACGCGGAAGGGCAGTTTAGGCTTGAATAAATTTTTGTTTAACAATGACTGATAATGGTTGCGCAGAAGCCAGTGTTACCAACTAGCAGCACAATCACGTCACGCACATAAATAATACTATACTTCTTGACGCCTAACAAGCAAGTAAAAAAAAAGCAACGACATTCAAATAACATCGGTACTGATGGACACATACGCCACATATGCACGAAATAACAGAAAGCTCATTCGGTGCTGAAACGGGATCCGTCCGGCTTGCGTGGACCAACTTCATTCACCCTTCACAGAAGGGGTGTCGGCAAGATCCCAGCCAGATCGCTGCATGGCGAATGCTTCCTTCTTTCTGCCATCTGCCTTCCTCCGTTCCTTTCGTGACAGGTGACTTCGTTGCTACGACAAGGACATCAACCGAGTGCAGAAAAATTATAAAAGACAAGAGGGCAAGGCAAGAGGAAACTATAGACAATCCGCCAACCAGCCACTGTTTTTAACGTAGCTTATGGTGCGAAAAAACACGAGAGAAGTACAAGCGCTATAAGCTACGTTAAGAATGCGCCAACTCACCCAAGAAGTCACTCCGCTGTTTTTCTTGTTCTTTTCTTTTTTTACCGCTACGTTTCCTTCACACACAGCCCTGCCCATGGCTGCCTGAGTGTCCGACACTGACCGAATGGCGTCACAGTTATGCGGCTACCTCAAGGACTCCGGAACCGGCGCTTTCCATTGTATGCCGGGGCCAGGCACGGTCAGAGGCGTGGCCGACACGCCATGCTCGTGAATGCCTAACGGCTTTCTTTTTTTTATGTTTTTTTTCCTATGCAGAACACACATTAGTTTCTTGCATTCATTTCTAGAGCACTCGCCCGCGGCCGGCGCATTATTCCTGTCCCAAGGGTGTTCCCACGTTCGGTCGAAACGATCGGCGCGCCACCGTTCGAACGATCCGAGAAGTCGCTCGCTGCGCGAGGCACCACGGAGCGCAGCAAGGCCTCTGCATTTCAATCGTGTTCTGCTTCAATGTCCGGCGATAACTTTGTTCTTGCTTAAATGCCGCGCGAAATTGAGCATCTATTATGAACTGCGATGACGGTGGCTGCCAATTAAGACGGCCGTAGGGTGCGTGGCCTCTGAAGCGAGAAAGCGTCGGCAGGGCGTCTCCCCCCGCATGCCGCGTAAAACGTTACCGTATGCATTTAGCGGCCGGGTGGCCGAGTGGTAGAGGTAACTTAGGTATACGCTTCCGAAACGAGCGGAGCATGCGAATGCTCCGAGTGAAATGCAATATCACGTGTTCCCGGTGATTAATGGTTGATTGTATTCGCTCGGTACAGCCCTGAGGCGCCGACGTGCCGGGCGGGTATGAATTACAGGCTCAATTTAAGAAACAAAGACAACTTCGTACCCGGAAGGAACAGAAAATGGCTTGATGCCTGCTTTCTCCTTGATGTGTGTAGTAGGATTTTACTCTACTTGATTGCCACGTTCCGGAACAACTGACTTCTTTTTGCGATTTTGCCCTTCTTCAGCTTTTCCATATTCTTTTAATCACTAGCCTCTCGGAAACAGCTTGTATAAATTGATACAGCTATGTTCCTCTCATACATGTTCCAGGTTCTTCCATGGAAATCACTTTAACGATTTACATACTATCACTCGCCATTTCAGCCAATCTCGATAGAAAATAAGAAAGCAGCGGTGTGAAAAACGCTCCGTTAAATGTACAACACCGTTTTCCCCACCGTTTGCAACTGGCATAGGTTGAAAAATAAGGCGGCACGTGATTGCGAAGGTTACACTTGCTACGCTTGCACAGTATGGTCTATAACATGGCTTCCCACAGGTTCCACCGTAAATAGAGAGTTAAAAGCCCTGCTATTTACAGTGCAACATACGGCATATAACTCGTGACTCCTACATAATAATGCGTTTGTCCTAAACAAGCCATTCGAAGTCAGTACTGAGAAAATCTGAGAGCACGTTTTGACATCACAGGCACAGTTATTCAAAAATCTCAGTCTTCGATCAAAATAGAGCATCTGTGGATCGTAACAAAAATTGCAGCTGTTTAAAGCACAGAATGTCGGGAAAGCTAGAAGTAATGTTCCCATTTTTGCAGTTTGGCGTATGCGTCTTGTTCAAGTTTCCTATGCTTTCGTATCCCAGTGGTTTGTTTGACACGAGGCGCACATGGCAAAGGACGTTCATGTAATTAAGCGATTCGTGTAGATGTCAAAGGCCATCGCATTTGTAATTTCACATACGAAGTAAAGACATCCTAGCAATGTTTTGGAAATAAAAACATTTCTTTGCTTTACCGGCGCGCTCGTATCATTTGTACTTCTTTCCAAAACTTCACTGTATCATAATGCTGTTTTGTAGAAAAGAATGTACCAGTTCTCATTACTTTCTATACCTTTCTTTGCTTCGTATAAGGTTAACCCATAGTGCATTAAAATAACGTATCTTTGTTTAGATGCGTCTTATTAACAAGAAAGCACTTCAGCAGTGCATCTTCAGCGAGGCCACGCCCTCATACGTCGACTGATGCTTTCTTTCAAAGCAACCAACATTGCTTGGGTTCAGCCGAGAAAATTACTACAGATGGCCTTTGATATCTGCACGCACACGGGGCGCGTAATGTCAGTAACATGACGTGAAGTCCGCTGTGCGGCGACGATCGATGGTGACTGTGGTTCCGCTGGCCGTTTCAGAGGGAAGCGTTTTCTGTGGAAATGTGTTTCTCTGTCGCTTCTGCGCCTCCGTGTCTTGAGAGTTTTCATCTGGTGCTCTTATCGGTGTAGCCATTTGTGTCCGGGACTACTCTCCTCGCTTTCTCGCTCTTTTTCACTCCTGTTGTGTCAGTGAAAATGGATGGTGTCCCAGTCCTGTGTGTTCTGCTCTCCTAAAACTGTCGGTAACTGAAATGAAAACAAGACAACATGTAAGGCAGACTGAAGTCATCGTTCTCTTTCACTCTCTCACTTTATTACACATGGAATATGCGCATAAAACGTAACAAGATATGCGTGAATACTTCGTTGTGCACTGTTCATGAACATTGCATTGTCAGTGTGAAAGTAGTTTGTTTGTCCATCAAATTTTTGATACTGGATGTTATTTGGCCTACGGTTCATTTATGAAGTGGCCTGAGCACAACATTCGGTGCGAAAACTCGCCTTGTTTGCAGAACGCCAGCTTTTGTGCCAATAGTAAGTGGGAAGGTGGGAAAAAAGTGGGATTGTTAAAAGGAGTTTGGAAAATGAGTTAGGACAAGGAAGTATTCAGATGACAAGTCACTTATTGTACGTTATCTAAACCAGAAAATGCAAGTAGATATAAGCTTGCAACACAGCCTCAGCGCTCCGCTAAGCTCGCCACCGGTGACTATATGGCAGCTTACCTGAGCGCACAGACCTCGATGTGAAGCCTCTGAATTTTGCAACGACATGCAACATAGTGAGCTTGCCCTAATGAGAAGACGGTTAGTGGAAGCATGAGTATGAATATGCATAACGTGGTCAACAAGAAGTGTCAATAATTGGCGATAACTAACAAAATGCTATATACAATAATGTACGGTGTAACTGTGTCCGCTCCTTCGAAGATTGTGAAAACGCTGCTTATGAAAAAAACAGACGGTTTCTTCCACAACTGTATAAGTAACTAGCCGATTATAGCACGTGATTAGTATTTAAGCTAAAAAAAGAGTAGTTTTGCATCTGACCGATAACGCGAATTAGGTGGCGAGGTGTTTTTGGTCTCTGAAATATTTTTGGTATGGCATTGACTCAAACAGAGCATAATTTGCTAAATATACTCGTCTTCACCGCGTCGATCATTCTGAGAAGGAACGTGAAAGTAACAAAGTGAGGTAAACCTTTAATGCATAAAAACCTATTCACCGTTTCCTTCATGACATCGCGAGGGCTAATTCTCATTTTAATGTTCAGCATTGTACAGTTTCTTTCTACCTGATAACATTATGCCCAAATGGTTTATGACAAAATCATCAGAATATATAACTATCAAAGAACATACAGCGTCCTTGAAATGCAGTGCATTTTTTTCCACTCCAGAATGCCCACGTTACACCTCTATAGGATTATTGTCCAGGAATACAACTGCGAATTGTGGCTGATATAGTGCCAGTAACATTGACTTATTAATCCTACTTTGTTTGATTTGCATTCCTAGAGGCCTGCTTATCTCATCTTTTTCAGTCGCTTTTCTGATTTCTGTGATATTGAAGGCACAGCTGTTTGTTCCCTAGTGAGGTGATCTTAGAAGAAACTAAACTTTGGCAAGTCAACCAAGAAAGCGTTTCAGTTGATATAGACCTATCGAGCTTGAAAGAGACAGGAACAATGTTGTTGTGTATTGTACGGGTTGTGACTACCAGTGGACGCGATGCTTGTAAAGCTTACGGAACAGCGCGTGGAACACGCGCTAGAATCACTATTCGCTACACGTGCGTCGCAGCACTTGATAACAACGTGAGCACAGGACAGAGTCACTGCTGCGCAAGCAATCATGGGAGTTGAATGCCGAGCGTGATGAGAGCTATAGCACGGGATGAGAACGGAGCATTTCCGGACGCCCATCATGGGAGATGCCGGTGACGACTTTATCCCGTGCCGATGTTGTACGACAGGAGTGATGCGTCAAACAAAGGCAGCGCCTTTTCCTCAACTTGCCCTTGCGCTGGCGCGCCTTGACCACTGGGCTGGTAAAGCTGCTGCGGGGCCTGTCCTTGCGATGGTGCGCCTTGACCACTAGGCTGGTAGAACTGTTGCGGTAGACTCGGTACAGCGTTCGCTGGCGATGTTGATGATGAAGAGGTCTTCTTCTTCAGGTACGGTTCTTCGTACTTCTTGGGGTCGTACAGGCCGTGGTCATACAGTTCTGGCTTGTACGAGCCGTCGTCGTTTTCTTCTTCATCATCCTTCTTGAGTGACTTCGTCTGTAGCTGCTCGGGATACACTCCAGCTCTCTGCACCGGATAGACGGGCAGTTGAGGTGCCGCCTGCGCCGTTCTCGGAATGTAAGAAGGAGCCTGCTGCAGGGGAGGTCTGAAGGAGTTGTAGAGCGGGACTTGACCGCCACTGCCTTGCTGAGGAGTGAAGCTGGGTTGGGCTCTGAGCTGGGCTGGCTGTTGAGGAAGGTACACAGGGGGCCTCTGAGACGCTGGCGTAGTAATAGCAGGTGGTCCGTATGGAGAGAAGCCCTGTTGCGTGCTTGCAGCACCAGGAGCGCCACCAGCAGGAGCAAACTGCTGCTGCGGTGGAGGCCGTGGGATGAACTGCTTGAGGAAGTCGGCGAAATTAGGCTTGTTGGCGGCTTTCTGGGCTTCCTGGGCGAATATATTGGCAATGCTGACCTTAGGCTGGGCCTGTTGTTGCTGCAGGTATTGGGCCGGAACGTATTGCTTTCCTGGAGCAGCGGCAGTCGGTGCGGTGGCGAACGGTGAACCACCAGGCCTGGAAGCCGCTGCAGGTGGGTAGGTACCGGGCCTGACAAGAGGGAGGGGATAGCCATGCTGCTGAGCGAACGTAGGGTAACTGGCTCGCTGAGAAGTGGCAGCTGGAAGCTGGAGACCCGCGAAAGGCCTGGAGGGTTGCTGGGGAGCGGGAGACTTCGCGTTGAATGAAGGTGCATACGGGCTTGGTCTTGCCTGAATGACGTTTGGCGCATATGGTACGTAGCCAAAGGTAGGAGGTTGCCTGGGCGCCGACTGTGGGGCGCTCGGGGGAGGTCCCTGGAAAGGTGATACAGCTGTCGGTGCGGGCTGGCTCGTAGCAGCTGCGGACCTCTGCTCGGTCAGGTGGTGCTTAAAATAGTCTGGGAACGCGAGGTTCTCGACGGGCAAGTTTGCAGCCAGGCGCAGCACAGGCACATGAGATGCACCAAGCGGGGGCTGGGAAGGAGGAGCAGCAGGTTGGAACTGAGGATACACTGGAGGTCGGTACTGGGCAGGTGTTCTTGGGGGTGCATCGGTGTAGCTTGGAGGTTTGTACTTGGTTTCGGTGCTGGAAGTGGCTGGAGCTGGAGAGGGAGCAGGGGCTGGAGCGGGAGCCGGCACAGATGGGGCCGGTGCTGAGGAAGAGGCTGACACTGTCTGCTGTATGTGTTCGGGGATAGTGTCCTTCGGCGCTCCTTCTTGGTAGATGTCGCCTTCGGCTTTGAAACCGTCCTTGCCCGCGGTGTACTTGATGATCCTCTGACGACCGGATGCGTCAATGAAACCGTAGGAGCCCTTCACCGTACCGTCTGGAAGCCTGGTCTCCTCACGGAAGCTGCCAGTCTTGTCGGAGCCCTTTCCAGTGTCGTAACCGAACTTGTAGTCTCCCTCCAGCTTGGCGCCAATGCTCACATAGTGCAGGGGGGCAGCTTGGAATACGGGCAGCTTCGCCTCCTCCGTCTTAGTAGAGCTTGCAGACGACTGTGATGTGGACTGAGACTTGGGCTGCTCCACAGCATGCGCCTTAGGCTGTGGCTGCTGCTGTGGAGGCGGCTGATATTGTTGCGGCTGCGTTGGTGGCCGGTATTGCGGCGGCTGCACTGGCGGCTGATATTGCGGTGGCTGCACCGGTGGTCGAAATTGCGGCTGATATTGCGGCTGAGGTGCTGCTCTCGGAACGTAGCTCTGCAATAGACCACGTCAAACAATTGGTCAAGTAAACTTTGCGCATGCCCTCAAAAATTAAAGAACTCGCAATATCAATGTAACGTTTGGTCCTAGAGTGGATGTTTGGAATATTTTCCTACGTTTTTTATGTGCTAACAACTGCAAATGAAGTCAAAAGTAGTTAGGCGTTTTGAAGCATTGGGTTCGACAGGTTGTCAGCTAACGTAGTGACTCTTTGACAATTACTTATCGTTTGCATAAGCGCAACATCAACATTGCATCTCCAGACATGTTAGGGAAAGGTGATGCGACGAATTGGTGCATTTACTTTCCCGAGGACGTAGTGCTACAGGTCGCGTGAATGATGTACCAGTACACCAGGCTTAATATACGGCTTGACCCATTGCTACTGGCCCAACGATTATGCCGAGAGGTTGCGGTGCTGGCCAGCGTATTTAGAATATGCCCGAAGCCAAACCATTGGAGGGGGGGGGGGGGGGCACCGCAGCTAAATCGTTCTCAGCGTTAGTGATCCAACCACCGGCGCTTACATTTTTCATCGGGAGTCGATTCGGACCAGTGAATCTACCAGAGAACCTACTGAGCGCATTAACATAACTGCCCTTTTTACTGTCTTATCGTTGTTTAGGTGGGTGTGACGCGCTATACATGTGATGAAACACGACACGATCAAATTCACCAAAACGCGGCTCTAGGCTCAATGAAGGATATGTGTTACGCTATAAACCCGTACGTTGCTAATATGGCAGTAAATTAAGCACATTTATAATGCACCCTAAAGAATAGATTTTGGTGACCGTGATACTGCTCACCAAAAGCTATAGTCCAAGTTTTTTTTGCCGCTCTTCGGGCGCTATATTAACATAGAAAAATGTTGCTGTGCAAAATATGCTTCAACATGGTAATGCATTTTCTTGTGACCTTACAAAAACAAATGAACTAACTGTTTCAAATGGTGAGAATGCCTCGGTGTGATAACTTCCCTTCCACAAATTATATAAGTTTAATGGCACGCATAGGTAAAAGTGCCATGGCCATTAGTTTGTTGACCATTGTGCAATAAAACAAGCAATGAATGAACACTAAAAACCTTAGTACTAGTAACATGCTCAATTGTGACGATCACAACACGCCTACCTCAGTAATAACTGCATTAGTCATAGTATTCCTAAATTCACTGTCCACCTTAGGAGTGTTTTCTAATCGCATGCGGCCCCATAGTGGTGGTCTAGTGGCTAAGGTACTCGGCTGCTGACCCCCATGTCACGGGATCAAATACCGGCTTCGGCGGCTGCATTTCCGATAAAAGCGGAAATCTTGTAGGTCCGTGTGCTTAGATTTGGGTGCACGTTAAAGAACCCCAGGTGGTCCTAATTTCCGTAGCCTTCCACTACGGCGTCTCTCATAATCATATACTGGTTTTGGGACGTTAAGCGCCACATATAAATCAATTAATCACATGCCTGATGGACATTACTCCACTCTTGATAGAGAAACGACAGAACCAGTTGTCAATGAAGGTACGTTACTACGGTATGCCAGGAAAACACTAAGTGAAGAAAACGCAGCCACAACTGCCCCAATGGTTTATTGGTTGCGGCTCTCGGCTGCTGACCCCCAGGTCGCGGGTCCAATCGCGACTACGGCATTCGCCTTTCGATGAAGCTGAAATGCTAGAGGTTGGTGCACGTAGACATCTGCGCCCGCTAAAAGCACCAAAAGGCACAAATATCCAGAGATATCCACCACAGACGTGCATCATAAGCATGTCGTAGTTTTGGTGCGCCTAGCCTCAGAAGCCATTGTTATTAAAATGCAGCCGCACATTGAAATGACCCAGGAGAGCTGAGAGAGAGCTCCCTAAAGCACATGTAGGGTTTTTTTTTAAACTTAATAAATTGCATAAGTATGGTGATGTCATTATCACTGTCTTAACGCAAAGTGAAAGAACATGTGCGTATGAACACGCCGTCCGGATTTTATCACTTCCACAGCTGCTCATTCGCCCGTTCATAATTAAAATAATGTGGTATTTCCTTGGAGGAACCCAACAATCGAAATTAAGGCCTAGAGCTTGTCCTTGAAAGCATGTTCAATTTAGTCTTGAAAGCACCGACTGACTTCTTTGTCAATTGTCACGACCCCATGTCACTATATTGGACGAGGCCGGTCATGGAACAGGAATTCAGCTGTTCCACTTGCGTGTAGCCGTCACAGTGATGCACAGTGTTAGCATTACTGCAAGCTTAAAAGGGCCATTCTTTAACTGCCGGCGCTGCAACATACTCTTCGGTGTGCGAAATTGAGAGAAAATGCAACATGGCAGGTTTTCTTGTTCTATTTTGCCATGAACATTAGTTAAAGGGGTCCTAAACCACCTCTGAAACCACAAAGAACAAGTGCGGTATTATTTCCAGACGTTTGCCATTCTTTTGCGACACAACTCGTGACGCCATCTGTTTGTTGACGTGACGTCAGGATCAAATAGGCTCCCAGTTGGTCGATATAGAAGAGAGAGAGAGACCTGTTGTGAATTGTCGCCTGTGGCTGTTTTGTTGTTCGTCCTGCCTTGTCTCGCAAGGCTATTGTGCACAATAAACTTATTTTGCTTCGTTTTCTGTGCATGAAACTGCGCAAGTGGACGTAGTCTCGTATAGTCGAGAAGTGAGAAATCCTGATGAAAATTACTTCTTTGCAAACTAGTTCTTTAAATGCGAAGCGTTTCTCAATGAACTTTGGCGACTTTGAGCATATCTATCTATCTATCTATCTATCTATCTATCTATCTATCTATCTATCTATCTATCTATCTATCTATCTATCTATCTATCTATCTATCTATCTATCTATCATCTATCTATCTATCTATATATCTATCTATCCATCTATCTATCTATCCCTCTATCTATCTATCTATCTATCTATCTATCTATCTATCTATCTATCTATCTATATATCTATCTATCCATCTATCTATCTATCCCTCTATCTATCTATCTATCTATCTATCTATTTATCTATCTATCTATCTAGCTGCCTAGGACTTCTAGCTCTCCTGGTCGTTTCGATAATAGTATCGATACTAAACGTGGTATGGCGTAACATGACTGCATGACGAAGACATTTAGTAGTCATAACATGAAAATCATGAAATGTATGTCATGAATGTTATGATTTATATTTTGTGGTCCTGCAGCTCTTGCGGTTGTTTCATTCGCATGGCATGTTACAAAACTGATATTGTATGACATGATTGCATGGCGAACACAAGCGACGGACCCTAAAATGAAAATTATGACATGCGTGTCATGTAACAACATGACTACATGCGACGCTCATGACGCGCTCGCACCCGTTTCGCTAGCGTCACATATACCAAATTTGATATGACGGTACGTGAATGGCTGACGAAGATAAACGACACATTCAAACATGATAATCATGACATGGAAGTCATGTACGGCATGATTTACCTCCACCTCATAACGTTGTGCTGATTTCAAAGTGACAAATCGACAATTCTCATTCGTGATTCGCATTTCATCAATTCCCACTGTACGTGGGATTTGCCAATTTTTTCTTTTCCTTCTCTCCGCTCTTTCTCATCTTTCTTGTCCCCTTCCCTAATCGCCCAGTGTAGGATAGCCAGCTGGATGTCCTTATGGTTAACCTCCCTGCCTTCTGCCTTTTGTTGCTTCCTTCCTCCTTTATTCATATTTAAAAAGTCGACTTGCAGCGCAAGCTGAAAGAAAACGACAAGGGAGACAGAAAAGGGCGCAGAATAAAGAGCGTTGAAGTACACAAAACGTCATAGTGAACTGGGATCTGTCCTGCCTCCTTTTCCTTTTACGTTCAGCTTGCGAAGCTAGTCAAGTTTTCATGAGAAATAAATCTTGACTGGCTGAACGCCTAGTGCTGGCTGTTCCAAATGCTTTCGGAAGGAACAACTGGGGAAGACGGAATAGCACTCGTGGGGCGGGTAATGGCGGCGGGAAAAACCACTGTCTGACCTATGAACTCAGCGTCGTTTATGGGCCCTTTTTTAGTATACAAGAACTTCAGTTCTGTTGTAACTTGTTTGCTCTCGAGACGCTTAGGTGTGCATTACCTCAGCTATCACAAAAAAAAGGGGGAGGGGGAACTAAGAATCGTCCCCCTGCAAGGAAAATGAACAAGTAAAGAAAAGCATATTGAAAACTGAAGCAAGTAAAGGCAGAACCACAACAACCAGTTTGTTTGTCGGAGTTCACATAGCAATAGAACGGTCACTCTCGCACTTCTGTTCAAGTTCTACCAACTTCATACGCAAAAACGTATCACTTGATGTAAAGCTGCTGAACACAAGCGCTGGTTCAGTGTAGTGCCCTCTGAGAAGTCTCTTTGGACGATGTTATTCACGCCACGGTCGAAGTTTTTTCTGTACTGCGAAGCATCGCCTGTCCGAGCCTTTTATCTCGTGTCTTCATCTCCTTTATTGCCGCAGCCAACTTTAATCATGTGTATTAGTCACACAGATTTATCTAAAGCATGGGGGGAGGGTATTTGTCAATGCTCGTACATGCGTTTGTATGTGTTAGTCTAAATACCTACATATATATTGCTAAAACATCGGCAAAGGTTGAACTTCACAAACTCTCTGAAGAATACACAAGTATTGTGTGTACAGTATAGCGTTCCTACTTACAACACCAGCCGACGCTGAAGGCGGAAGACCTTGTGGTTGGTAACCCTGCGGCTGGAATCCCTGCGAGACGAAGGCCTGCCGCGGTTGCGTGGGTGGGATCACCTGTTGCGGCACAAAGCCCTGCGGCAGCTGGAATCCCTGGGGTCTGCCCCCACCCTGTTGAGGGGCTGCGGCGAGTCCCGAGCCGTACGGTTGGAATCCCTTGTAGCCGCCGTTGAGGGGCGGTGGACCCTGGAGGTATTGCTGCTGGGCGGCGCACAGGGTCGCCGACACAGCCAGCAACCACGATGCCACAATCTGCGCAGAGGAAAAATAGGAAGATATGAGAAACTGTTGTTGGAGGAAGTCTGTCCTGTATTATCGTTACTGTTTAGCTGTATTAACACAAAAACGTTAAAAAAGAATACAGGTTTTTATATCTTACACTGAAGTCGCTTTTCCGCAAAAGACGTCTACCGGTTCACTATCACTCACTTCACATTTGGTCGTTTGTTATTGAAATATTCGCAAAGAATTTCTTAAATTTAACAGACCGTACAAGGCGTACCGACATTGTTATCTCTAACAGAAATAATGATCAGAAAGTGCTATTTTTATATACGCTGTAAGCATGCGCTTTCATTTAGTCAATGCGGCATCACAACACAGTATAGAAACATTCGCAACACTTCACGGCAGTTTTTTACGGTGCCCAGAAAATATTCACCACATTGACAAACAGAAAAAGGTAGCAAACTGAGCCACCGACATTTTGTGCACTATAACTCGCACTCCGTAGGAATTCTGTGCGCGCACTTGCGAACTTCCTTTGTGACGCCCGTATTTACGTGAAGAGCACCTACGTGGTAACGCGCACTTACCACACGTATGAATTTAAGTCTTCATAACAGAGCTATGTAAAAAAGGTTGGATCAAGGCGCGATGTTTATGAACTCCGTATTTCGTTTATCTGCATTACGATAGTGCGGGTCTGTGAAGAGAAAACGATGACGCATTCCGTGGGCAATTTGAACTCGGTAACGATCATTAGAACACCTACCGAGCTGCTCATCATATACGCATATGTTTCCGTTTTAATATGTTTAATACCATGCTAATACGACTTAAATGATTAACGCGAGAGCTGGGCTAGTTGGTATCATGAATAATATGAGATGGCACTAGCGAAATGATTATGTATTATTTCTGGGGTTTTACATGCCAAACCATGATATGGTTATGAGAGACGCCGTACTAGACGGCTCCCGATATTTTGACTATCTCGTGTTCTTCGTCGTGTGCTGACATCGCACACCACACGGGTCTCTACCACTTCGCCTCCATTGAAATGTGACCGCCATGGCCGGAATTGAACCTGTGACCTTCGGGACATCAACTGGGTACCCTAGCCACTGTTCCGCCGAGGCGGACTTGCGAAAAAGGAGACGGGTTTGAGAAGAAGCACTAGGTACACTATAGACTTGAAGTGATCTATTGTATGCAACACTGAAATACAGGTAGACACAAATTGAGACCCGTATGCGCCCATGGGTACCATTGAACCGCATTGCAATCTATGTGTCTTCACAACGTGTTGGGAGTGTGTAACTAAAGGTGGAAGAAGAAGGCAGACGTGTCACCAGCCTCTGTTTTTTTTACAGTACCCTTAAGTGCACGTGGTTTTCAATTTGTGTCTGTATATACTTGAGTGGCGCATGTAAAAAAAAAAGTTTTGTTGGAGTCTAGCGTAGTCTTGTGTTTCTTCTCGTCGCCATCTCGTACTTCGCTAGTGCCACGTCATATTATGAACGAAATGTACGTGTTATGATTCAACGCGGAGACCTCTCACATCAGGAGGAAAACATTTGCAAAACAAGCAAATTTTTACTGAAAATGACAACAGAGACGAAACGCATCAAAACGTCGAGAAGCATGCATGTAGCAATAATACGTGCTACATCACGATGCGAACCTAGGCAGTCACAGCGACTCTCACACGGACACAAATGAACTGTTCCCCCTGCTTGGCTGTCAAACCGGTAAAAACGAAGGACGGCTAGAAACGGGGGGCCGTTTCAATGCAAAAACTGGTCCACCGGCGCCCTGATCTTAGGTTGGCGTCTCTAACGCGAGATGGCGCCAGCTGCCTTAAAGCGCACGCGTATGATATTTACACCGTCTTGAGGGCTTAAAAACATCGGAACGCCCTTTTGTTGCTTCTTACATAATCAAAAGGGGTAACTAGACGTAATCATTGTCCAACAGCAAGTACGAAAATGCTATAGCAAGTGCATATTGGATGTTTGGGTTTCTTGCTTTTCCTCTTCAGATTTTCATAATGCGTTTTTAATGAAAATAAGTGCTGCTGGCAGCACTTGATGGAGTGTAAAAGTGTGGATGGGCCAACGCTGTGTACGCTTTAATAATTACTGAAGGCGAATGTTGATGCAGACACAGGAATCAATTTGTATTGTGACTTACGCTAAACTAGGTCGCTAAAGTAATCATTCAAACAACTGTGTTCGCTACAATTTATTTCACTGTACTGAAATTCGCGAACTTTCCCAAGAAGAGCTGATATATAATACATATATATATAGCACGGAAAAATACTTATTCAGAATATAATGTCGCTATACATAGATTCTTCTGAAAATTCACCGCAGCCCATGGACACTTTCATTAGCAATAAATGTTTACATACATATTTGAGCAATATATTTTATCACCGATCCAAATGAAGGGAATAAACATCTCATGGTATTTCTGAGATAACGAGCATTACCCTAAAAAAACTCTTTGCCATGACAAAACTTTGAAGCTTCACTGCATACTTGTACTGTAGTGCAGCAAAGCAAACTCTTTTTAGGGATTGCGTTCGACATTTTTAAAACATACGCAAAAAAAAAAAATAAAACTTTTGATAACGTTGTGAGAAAGTTTACTTTCCAGATACAAAATTTATATAATTCATGCTTTACCTTGGCGAAAAGTGTCCCGGTAAGCTTGCGAGGCCCAGGAAAAATAATCTATAGAATCTAATATTTGGTTTTCTGCAGTATTATAAATATTTGTTTTGCTGCGGCTTCATCATGTGTTTTCGCGGTTTTTTAAGCTCACCTCAATTCATATTATCAAATTTTACTCCCTATGACAACAAAATAAACCAAGTAACACTAATGTGTCACATCCAGCCTTCAACCAAAAGAGTGCTTCACCCACGGGATAAATGTTATGTGACAAAGCCAAACTGTTGTAGTGCGTTCGTGTAACGTACATTACAATAAAGTAAATTACGTTTACATAGTACGATTTCATGCAGACAGACAAATACATATACCTGAATCTCTCGTGGCTGGAGTTCTGTGCATATGTATACGTGTAGAACAGGTGTACGTGGACATCTATTAAAAATGTAGGTGGCGGGAAGGATTTTATGTGAAAGAAAAAAGGGTGGTTCGAAAGGGTGGTGATAATATAATGCGCATGACGCCAGTGAAAACTACTTTCGTTGTCATAATTTCCTCTCACGACAAGACAATAAACCATTCTTATGATGGTTTTCACTTTGTCCCACCGCCTTATACCAACAAGAAAATGAACTCTTCTTATACAAAAACGTAATCGGTTGATACATATACCTGGATAGTAGACACCCGGAAACTCGATTCTCGCACTTCTTGCTGCCTGAACACTGAATTAGTTTTTTTTTTCTCACCATCGATAATCCACCCTCGATAGCGCGTATGTGTGGTACGTGAAATTGTACGTACCATAGTATGAGCGACCTATTTTTTGCAGTCACATCAATCTTGCGGACAACTGGAAATAAGGTTCTCGCTTGAGACCAACCCGGACAATGTAGCCGGCAAGTGCTGAAAGAGCGGCCGGTGTAACTTGATTTCAACTAATCATTATCCACAAACAGGTTGCTTTGCTGTCACTGTTCACCCTTACTCAACAGATACGCAGACGGTTATTTTTCTTCCCCTTCTTCTTTCGTGTTATTTTTTACCCTCAGTGAGGCGCCATTCGTTCCCGGCGCGTGCCTCGACCAAGAAAAACCTGAAATTTCGTAGCGCGATTTCTGCTTTGTCTCGCCGTGTAGGTCACTGGGAAGGTCGCCGCGTTGTAAAGATGATTGCGATAACGGCGTGCCAAGAAGACCGGACGGGCGTGCCTTGAGAGTCGGTGATTCCGCAGCCTTTTTTGGCGCGGAACCGGACTGCGCTAACCTGAATTCGTTCACCACGTCCTCCGGCGATCGCGAACCACCTAGCTGTTTTCTCGCACAAATATAACTGCCCATTATTGTTCCAGGTGATTCGAAGTTGACAGCACGCTCTGATCAGGAACAAGAAATAATTTGCTGCTTCTCGACAATCTGTAGCTTTATTACAGATTGATGCATTTTGTTTTTTTCTTGTTTTTTTTTAAAGAAAAGACCTCGAACGCGTATTTTTTGTGTGCCTAGGGCATTCGCAAGTACGACGAAAGCTGACGCTCTAATCACGTCGATTGATGAGATACCGTTGTCAGATGCGTCTTTTATCCGTCATTTATCGCTACATTTGTCCCCCATCCCTCTTTTCCAGATAGGGTATCAGCCCACAGTGAACTGTATGTCTTGGGTCAACCTCCCTGCTGTGATACGGGTAACAATACTCTTTCTAGGTGTACCCGGACAGTCACCCTACAATTAGTGAGGGTGAATTGTTAGTATTACTGGAAAAATAGATAGGAAAGTGAAAACAAGAGGTATGTAAGACAGTACCGAGTCATGAGAGGGACTCTCTAGGTAATGAATTTGAATCAATGTTGTAAAGCAACGTTGTGTTCAGAAGAAGAAATAAAACACAGCATATTCACAGGGTGAATGATGATGAGTAAGACGAAGCGTCCACCCGTCCATCCGTCTGTGCATGCGTCCATGCGTCCGATCATGTTCGAGAATGTTAACGGCGCGTGGGTAATACCCACGAGACCGAGCCAATGAAGCCGAGCGCAAGCGTCTTCAACGCACCTGCCGCTCTGCTCCGTCCATTACCCACCAACGATTCGCCACGTACGGCAACTATCCAGGAGACAGAGAGGCACTCGTTCACGCACTATGCAGATGGCGCGTGGGTACCACCGATGAGGTGCGAGTTAAGGAAGCCAAGCGCAAGCGTCTGGCAACACGTAGTGGGATAATCAGCGTGAACAACTGTATTGCCTCAGGCAAGCTGGCCGACGCTAGAATGGAAGGACCTATATTTGTCAAAGGCAAATTCTCATAGTTTAACACGTCCCAAAATCACCATATAATTATGACGGAT